AAACAAAAATTTGGGTAAACCCAGTGGACGGAAAACTACTTGTTTCGTTACACAGTCTATGGTAGCATGGTATTTCGTTAGCCAGTCCATTCCCAATATTACGTCAAAATGATCAATGTTCAGAGGCAGTAAGTCAATAAACAAATGTGCATCTCCAACAATAATTTCACAAGCAGGGTACATATATGCACAGGTCATAGATTCCCCAATGGGCGATGATACAGCTAACAGATAATTCATGGGTACTAATGGTCTATTCAGTTTTCGCAAAAACACATGCGACACATATGAATGCGTAGACCCCGAATCAATCAGTACATAAGCATTTTGAGTACAGATAGAGAGAATACCTGACACAACGGTCTCGGTATTCTGCACGTGTCCTGGTACTAGGGCGAACACTCGGCCCTGCCTCATGGGCTCTTTCCCGGTAGCTTTGGGGTTCGGTTTTGGTGCAACAATTGATGCTGCTACGCTTGGTGCAACTTTACTATTGGCTTGTGGAGCAAAGGGCCAGTCTTTAACCATGTCGCCCACCTTGCCACACCTATAACAGGCTCCAGATATTTTATAACAGACCCATTTGTGCTTCTTGCCACACTCAGAACAGGGTGGTATGAAACCACTCCCTTGGTTGGGGCTAGTTGTTGACCCCATATTTTGTTTCTTATTCAATGGGTTATGCTTGCCTTTCTTGAATTTAAAACCCTGCCTTTTACCATGCCATTCAGACGCTGGTGTTTCCGTTTTCAGTGCTTCAATGTTCGATTCAGCCATCAAGGCTCGGTCAAGAACATTTACATAGTTCGATAGCTTCAAAACATTAATTTTGTCGAGTATTGCAACATTAAGGCCGCCTTCAAACTTTCTGGCCTTCTTATAATCAATGTCCACCATGTGTGGTGCATAACGGGCAAGTTCAGTAAATTTTGTCCCATATTCAGCCACCGACATGGTGCCTTGTTTCAGTTGTTCAAACTCAGTCACTTTTCTGTCCCTAACACATTGAGGGAAATACTTCTCGAAGAAGGCTCCTTTGAATTGAGCCCAAGTCATTACGGTGTTGTTATCACGAATAAGCATCCACCACCTTCTGGCTTCTTCTTGCAGAGTAAAGGTGGCCAATAGCACTTTATGTGCTTCAGAGCACGGAAAAACCTCACACAATTTTTCAGTCTCAAGAACTCATGCTTCAGCTTTTAACGGTTCAAGGCCTCCCTGGAAGGACGACGGTTTCATTTTGCTGAACTTATGGGTGAGAGCAATTATGTCCCCATCATTAACATTGGCATTCTGTTCCGGCTGTACCAGAGGAGGAGGTGGGGGCTATTGATTCTGTTGTTGGTCCAGTCTTTCAGTTATTAACTCCATCATTCTTTCCAGTCTTGCCATTCTTGCCTCAGAGGATGAGGTTTCAGATTCATTTGCAGTTCTCGCATTATCCATTTCACTATAGGCAGTTATAACAGTTATTAACATAGGCAGTCATTTGTTTAAACAGATTAACACATTAGCATACATTCAGTCATGTCATAGCCATACACACTTATCATGCTCATGTAATGCCCTAATCGCTTTTCTAGGACATCCTATAGCTCATTTGGACACGTGTGTGCGGTATAACTCGTGGTAAGTATCGCTCTGATACCACTCTATCACGACCCAAACCCGCCCCTATGGGTTTAGCACCGTAACCGGCCAGTAATCCGAGATTACCGAAGGCCTGCTTAACAGTAGTATAGTAAGACAGAGTACAGGGGCTGACAGAAGCCAATACAGTAAATAAACAGTGTCCAATGAGCTGTGACAGTTTGTATGTAAAAAGACTTCATTCAAATATATACAGCCAGACAAAACAGTATGTACATATATACATTCATTCAGTTCAGGGACCTAATCCCTATTAAACAGTACGGTACAGTAAACAGTCTATACAGTTATGCAAAACAGATACAGTGACAGACGGGGAAATTAAAAACACCCCTAAGTTGTAGCTTGACAAGCTCGGAACCTCGCATTGAGACATATAGGTTGGCTCGACAAAACTGGAGTTTACCCCGATGCTTCTAGCTGCGGTCTGGTGCCTGTACACCTACATATATATATAAGCAGTGAGCTAAAGCCCAGTGAATAACACAATGCGTAAAGGGGTTAAGAATGAATGTCCTTACAGTAATGAAAACAGTTCATTAAATCAGTATTTCAGTCGTTCAGTCGATACAGTCATATGTGGTACATCCATTAACATAACAGTACAGTAAACAGTAGGTCTTAAAAGACCGAACAGTAAGTGATGGCCATCAGTCAATAACAGTAGTGGTTCCAACGAGGGAACCGACAGAGATCTCTGTAACAGTAACAATAAACAGTAGTTGCTAAGGATGCCACAATATAGTTCAGAATATAGGACATACATTCATTCAATTAACAGTATCAGTTCAGAAAGCGGTACAGTTCAATTGTTCAGAAGATAATCATTTTGAACATATCTTTACACAATTGTTACTCACAGAGTTCTGGGCTACAGTAAAGCTAGAGCGCGTCCCCAGTCGCCAACCCTACACAGTTACAGATTGAACACACACTAAGCTACACAGTTGGGAAAATAATAACTTAATCCCTAATTTGCCTCGGTGTGTTCTACATCTATGTCCTCATTAAGATGCCTTAAACTAGGCCTAATAATGCCTAGGATGAGATGAGGATGCAAAGATGCACTTTAAAAACATTTTCAGACTTTTCAGAAAACAGGGGTCACGCTCGAGCGTAGGTTACTCCGCTCGAGCGGACATGCAGACAAAGGTTTCCGCTCGAACGTAGACTTACCCGCTCGAGCGTTCTGCAAAACAGTCAAAAGTGCTGGATAGGCGAAAATCACGCTCGATTGGGAGCTCGACACCAGCTCGAGCATGAGACACAATGTCCCGCTCAAGCGTCAATTATTCCGCTCGAGCGGACTTCAAAACAGAACAAGAATGCTGGGAGCACGATTTCCACGCTCGAGCGCCAGTCACCCCGCTCGAGCGTGAGTCCAAATTCTGGAAATTCCAGATTTGAACCTCAAGCTCAAAACCAAGTTTTAAACCATAAACTCTGATCCTCTTGGGCCAATTTTCCAGAAAACACATCAAAACTCATACTTTAACATGATTCAAAGCTCAATTTGTAAAATCAAAGCCCAAGGGTGTTTCAAACAACTCAATTTCAAACCAATTTTCATGAATATGAAGAACATGCAAACATGCAAGAATTAAAACCATTTCAAAGCTTCAATCTGATGCTCTAAGGAGCCAATTGTTCCAAAAACAAGATGAAAACATGGACTTAACATAACCATGAGCATGCATGAGGCAATTCTCCATGGAATCAACTCAAAATTCGACAATTCAAACATGCATGCATGGAATGAGCTCCAATTCAACATTAATGAACCAATTCTTGACTTAACTCTTCAATTAGACATGAACCATGCAAGAATCAATTCAAAACATACACAAGAGGCAATGAATCTACCTTAGGTCTTGTAGTTCAAGATGGCCGGCAATAACGGCCTTCGTTTAGAGACCGAAAGCTCTCTGAGATCGGTCTTCGACATCGTTCTAGTCATCTTCTTTCTTGATTTGTCGATCGGAGAAACTGAGACCATCAAGACAGATCGAGGCTTCGGGATTTGAAGAGAAATGTCCGTCTCTGGCGATGTTGATGACTCTTTCGAATATGGAAGCCATTCGTTTAGATTCTTCCTTTAGAATAAGCCAATTTTTCTAATAGACTCTTCCTTTAGATTGTTGCAGTGGCTCCTTTCGTTCGTTGTTAATATTGAAGGGGGTTGGGTCTACAGCAAGGAAATGGGTTCTGATGGAGAGAGAGAGAGAGAGAGAGAGAGAGAGAGAGAGAGGAGAGGGAGGGTTTTGTGTTCAAAATTTGAAAATTGAAACAGAGAGAGATTTTGAGTAGAGAGGAGCTGAGGTGAGAGACATTTTGAACCATTAGATCTTGATACATATATATCTCCGCCTTTGGATTGAGCAAGACATTTTCAGCCCTTGGATTGAAGCAATCTAAAGGTCCAAATTTTGACACATATATATTTTCAGTCTTTGAATTCAAACTAATCCTTCCATTGTTATATAGATTGGTGAATAAAGTGAAGCATTATTTATTTGTGGTGAGTGATTAAGAAATATAAAAGAATAAAATAAACAGTGTTTGAAGAAAAAGAATGATCCAATGATACTCTAAGACTATGACTATTGTATAATTTTTCCCAATAAAGAAGCACCAGGCAAAGAAATACTTAAATCACCTACTTGCATATTTTTTAAACACATTCGCACAGAGTACGGGTGTGTAATTAAGGCATTAAACAAATATAAGTTGAGTTGAGTTGAAAATTAGGGTATTTAAAATTAGTTTAAGAATTTAACTAGTTTTAAAATGTGTTTAAGTTTGATTTTATTTATATAATGAATTGATTTTAAACATTTTTTTAGTGAATTGAACACCAGTCGACATCAAATAGTTTGGTACTATAGTGTATATAAATTTATCAAGAATTGTTCAAGTTTACTTTTAAAACTTAACAAATATAAAATTATATTCAAACTTAACTTATTTACGTAACCAGCTAATTTTAAATGAATTTTTAATAAATCCATCCTGAGTCAAATTCGAATGTCCCATTTGCCCAAAAAATTATGGGTAAATTACAAATGCATCCTATGAAGTTTGTTTAAAATATGAATTGTTTCATGTGATTCTAGCAATTACAAATGTCACATTGTCAAAAAAAAATTATCTAACAAAATTAAAAAATAAAATTCTTAACTACTCTCCTATGTAACAATAAAATTATCAGAATTGTTAATTGAAACATATTTTTTATATCATTAAAAAATATTAATTAATTTAATAATTTATTAATAAAATAAATTATTTATTATATAATTAAAAATTTAAAAAGACAAATCTAAATTTTAAATTACATTTTATAATTCATATTTTAATTTACCCTTATATTTTGTAATTACAATTTGCACAGCCTTGTCACTGGCTTCGTCGGCAATGAAGCAGAGTTTGGTTTCCATTGCGAGAAGAGCAAGCTGGCGTTTCTATTCTTCACCATCCTCTTCTCCTTCCAACAATAAACTCTTCGTCGGCGGTCCTCTCTCTCTCTCTCCACCTGGTTTAGATATATGTATATGTATCTAATGGTTTTCTGATTAGATGATTGTTTCTTTTGATGTTGAAGGTTTGTCATGGTCAGTGGATGAGAAGACATTGACAGATGCTTTTTCTTCTTATGGGGATGTCACTGAAGGTCACATTTAAACACCCATCTATTATCCCATTTTGGTATATTGTTTGTTAACTCCCTCTGCTCTCTACCTATTCGATGAAATGCCTAACTCGCTCATGTGAACAATTACTGCCGATTAATACAAGTTTGATATATCTCCTATTCATTGATGGGATTAAAAGAGCTACAAAACAATTTGGTTTTTAGATTATTCTGATATGTGGGTTGTGGTTATCTCAGTTGGAATTTATCAAACAGGTTAAAGTTTTTGTCCCATTTTGAATCATTTTAATTGAGGGTTTGGTTCACTGGAATGAAATAGAATTGAATGTATTGCCATTCCTTAGTCTCTCCCTATAGAATGACTATTGTGAATGATGATTGTATTTTTAATACATTTTTCACATTTTTTTAGTGAACGAAATATGATAGTGGACATAATGACATTAAATTCCACTTCATTACGGTGAACCAAACAAAGCATAAGAGTAATTCCCGCATTTTAGTTAGGAAGAGTAGGAGATGTTAAATTTTGGACGGTTGAGAGAAAGAACAATTTTTTGTTGTAAACAGTAGAACAGCATATGTTCAATTACATATGTTGGGGAAATTGCCAAAAATTAAATATTGAGATGAAAACACCACCACAAGAAGACGCCATTTTTTTCGTGCAGCTAAATCAGTCTACATACACGGATGAATCATTCGCCATTTTAATATTAAATTTCACCACCTATGCTAGTCTTTAGTTGTATCACCAGATATCTGCCGCTGCAATTTTTACTTGATTTTGGTTGACAGATTGAAATAAATCAAGAAAGGATAATTGCTTGTTGGGAGTTTTTTTCCGTGTGTTTTCATTTCTCTATTTTATGAATTGTTGGATGGTTGAGGATTGCATAGTGATGATTGAAATTTGATCTTTAAGATCCGTCGACTAAAGTACAGATTAAGAGCCCATATTTGTGTTGAATCACCTTTAGTCTGGCATTTATCAGGAACAAAATATATTTTGCTGCTTATTATGGTACAAGCGGATGTAGCAGGCTGATTGTTCGATAACCCAATAAAAAGACCATGTTTTTTATATTCTTTACCATCTTCTTATTGAGGTAAAGATTGCTTCAAATCTGGTTGTACAAATTTCAACCAAATCCTATTGACAGACTTGTTCTCTAATTTAAATAATGCATGCAACTCAAATGACTCCCTTTGGGTGGATTATAAAGATTGGTTTCATTCTCAGTTAACTTTACTAAAGTGATGTGTAGATCAAGCTTTTTCTTTTCTTTTATTTATTTTCTCTTCACTTTGGGGGGAACAAGGAGGTTATCAAGCCAGAAAAAATTGAACCACTAGAGTTGCTTAGTTATATCCAGGAACCTCTGTTTAATTCTTCTCTCGTACCTCTTACGTCAGATATATATCACTAACACCTATTGTTAAAGCCTTAAAAATTTGACATATCTGCAAAGAACTGTGTTTCACTTTGAAGCTTTTAATAGAGTTTGCACCGTCTACATATATCCAATGATGTGTTTGTTAACAATATTGAGTTTGGTTTAAAAAATAAAGTTGATATTATTACTTGAAATGTGAACATTAATTCTATGCTGATTTGTCGGGAGTGAAAAAAAAATTATATTGTGATAAATCATGTACATGCTTTTGTGTTTTAGTGAGGATATTGTACGATAAAGAAACTGGCAGATCAAGAGGCTTTGGTTTTGTAAATTTTTCAAAAGAAGATGATGCCAGATCTGCAAAAGATGCCATGGATGGGAAGGTGAGCAGATGCTGATTATTGTCATGTCATGTATTCTTGTCTTCTTCTTCTTCTTTGTCGTCTTCTTTCTTTCTTTCTTTCTTTCTTTCTTTCTTTTTCTTTTTCTTTTTTTTTTAAAAAAAAAATTATTATTACTTTTTAATGTATAAAAAATATATACAATTGTAAGGTGGATTTACTGGCAGGCATTTTTAGGTCGACCATTGCGGATAAGCTTTGCTCTTGAAAAGGTTCGCGGAACTCCTGTTGTAGTCCCTCGTCTTTCAAACGTTGGAGAGGCTGCCAATCGAAACAAGTGAACTTATTTGGCAGTTTTTGTGTTTGATATTTATTTAAAATACGGATTGTTCCATATGGTGATAGCCTGGAGTGTTGTATGCATTGATCATTTGATTGTTGTGGATATTTGGTTGCCGAACTTCGTTTCTTTGTTGAGCATTCAATAAAAGTAGCATCAAAATGACTAGTGAGGTAATTTTTAGAGGTTGTTATGTATGATTCTAAAGAGATGTAAAAACACTCAGCAAAATTGATGCGTGTGATTGCAGATCATTGTCTGTATCTAAAATTTGTTTATAAGGTTGTGTACTTAATAAAAGTAAAAAAATAAAAAACAATTCTACATGTTTGTTGCTTCTCGGTTCCAATTTTATAGTAAAAAATAGGTGGGATAAATATAAGAAAAAATGAATTTTTAAGATAAGTTTTAAACTTTTTACAATATTGTCATATTTTTATAATTTTTGTATACATTTCAAAATTTACAAACTCACAACACCAATGACAAGTGTTACTCAAAAAGCAGTTTAAGAGGGGAGTGAATTAGGTTTCTACAAATTAAAATTAATAATATCATAATAAAATTAATTACTAGTACAATAAATTATTAACAAGCACAATGATGAACTTAGCAGTAAATGATCAAACAAAATAACAATGAAGTATAACTAATAGACATGGTAAATCAAATGATTAACACATGAATATTGGATAGGTATAGCAGTAGTAAGAAAGTAAAGATATTAGGAAAGATGAGACAAACAGATTTATAGTGAGACAAACAGATTTATAGTGGTTCGGCTTCAACCAAGCCTACATCCACTCCTCAAGTTTCACTTGAGATTTTTTACTATCTTCTAGCTTCACAGAGGTGCTAACAACGTTTTTACAAATGGAACAATCCTCTACGGATTTTACACAGACTTCACAAGCCCAAACCTTTGCAAATCTTAGGTGATTCACAATCACTCTCAAGATTTCAAGAACATAGTGTTTGCAAAATTTTTACAAGATGAAATGGTATTTTTGCTTTCAAAGAAAGCTTACAATAAATATCTCTCAAAGATAGATATATAAAATGAAACTTTAATTTTTCTGTAAATCTCACACAGGAAAGATAAGCTTAATGTTATAAGGCTCAGTGTATAATTTTCTGAGAATAGATGTGAGTGATTATAAATTAAAGAATATTTTCAAGTTTTTTTTATAACTTGTTTACATTGGAGGGTTTGGTATATATAATGAAAATTATAACCGTTGTATTCATTTGAATTTATAGCCGTTTATAGTCGTCGTAGTCATTTGAATTTATAGCCGTTTATAGCCGTCGTAGTCATTTGAATTTATAGCCATTTATAGCCGTTGTACTTTCATTATTACTAATTTGAATATCTTCCACTTGAACCTTTTGAACATTTTGGCCTTTTGAATCTTTATAGCCGTTGTACTTCCATCATTACTAATTTGAATATCTTTCACTTGAACCTTTTGGCCTGTTGCTGTGCTAGGCTCTTTGAACCTTTATTTTTGACTGTTTGAACTCCTGATTTAATCAAATGTCAAATACATTCTAATAACATTTAGGTGAGAAATAATTAGACAAAATAATTTTTGATTCTATTTTTTTCTTTCAAATAAATCATCAAAATAAATTTTAGATTTTATTTTTCTCTTTCAAATAAATTAAAACATAATTAAATAAATCATCAAAAGAAATAAGTTTAACAACAAGTTTTCTTAATTTGTTAAAAGTTAGTTTGTAATTGATTTAACTACGGCGGTGTTTGGGAAGGGTTTTTTTTTTTTTGGTTAGTTTTTTGCTAAAAGACAAAATAAGTTAAAAAAACCAAAAAAAAAAAATCAGACAAAATATTACATTAAACTCATAATCATTTCATTTTTTCTCTCATAAACATCATATCCAACTACAAAAAAATCTAACTATCTTCCCAAAGACAAAAAAAAATTTCTCAAAAAATAATCAAAAACTAAAAAAACTTACTAAAATAACAACTTGCCAAACACCCACTATATTCCTTCGATTTATAAATTAAATTTAAGTGTATTGTAAAATTTATTAAAATTTTGAAGTTTATTTAAATAGGCTCTCAAAAAAACGAAGAAGTTAATTTAAATAATTTATAAACTGATTCATTAAAACCCATTTAATAGAATTTATTAAAACCTTTTAAATTTTGGATAAATTACAAATATTTTTTTTGATATTTATTTAAAATACGGATTGGTCCATATGATTTGAAAAATTATAAATACTCTTTTGCCATAAATTTTTATTTAGGGTTTGTTTGGGATGTGGGTTGGCTTTTTAATTATTTTAACCTGGGCTAAAAAGTCTCGTTTTTAATAGATTTTTTAGTTTTTTTTTTTTTACTTTTGTAAAAGAAAAAATAAAATGATTATAATTTGGATGTGACATTTTATCTTATTGACTTTTTAATATATTTGAGACACTTTGGGAAGATTGGTAAAAAGTCAACTTTTTGACTTTTTAACTTTTTTAACAAAAAAAAAAATCAGCTTTTTTAACCAAAACAACTCAATTTTTTGTCAAAAAATCACCAAAAAAGTAAAAAAGTCAAAAAATTAACTTTTTACCAACTTACCAAAACACCACTTTGTACCTGTTTGGTGCAACTTAAAAACTGCTTATTTCAGCTTTCAGCTTAATGTAAGCTATTTTGATGTGTTTGGTTTAGCTTAATAATGCAGCTTATAACTTTTTGTAAGTCAGAAATCAGCTTATTCTTTGAGTAGGCAGGAGATGCTTAATTTATAAGTCAGAAATCAGCTTATGTTCATAGTTATAAGCTATAAGCTGTTAAGGCATAAACTATGGGAGCTGTTAAGATGTGCACCTCAATAAGATGTGCACATCATATACACATTTATTTTAAGCCATTAGATTTTTACAAATTAATCTCAGCCACTGAATAATTTGATTAGAAATCTTGAGAACCTTTTCAACCGGTTACCTTTTTTTCAAATTTCTTCAGTTTTTTTTCCCAAAAGTCCCTCTGTTTTTGAGACAGAACGCAGACAGTCTGCCAGAGTTTTTGTTTTTCAACTAATCATAAAACTTGCCAAGAATTTCCTCAATCACGGTTGCTAATTGGTGCTAGTTTTAAGTGTGGATGAGGAATGATAATCATTACTCCGTTTTCTCTGCAGTTGTGTTCAATTAATCAGCAGCAGTGCAATATGCAGACAGTTCTTAATTCTTACCAAATGATGTTTATGGCTAAATATTATGAGGAAAGCAATCTAGAATTAGATATGATTTCTCCCATGTATCAGAAGTGATGTTATTTGGATGGAGGGAGCTGAATGACCTTCCAATGCAGAGGACGACTTTATTTCTATATTTCTTTGAAGGGGGCAATCAAAATAAATTAATAATCAGCAAAACTGTTTCATTTTGCTGTAGTTTATCACCGTGCAGTTATTTATGTTTGCATTACCATTTTGGTAAATCACATGGGTCTTTCACATATTACTCTTCTATCAATCGAACAATTAAATTATGGAATTTTTCAACCATGCATGTTGTCATGAAATTACCTGAGCTGCCAATGGTTCATGAGCATTTTTATGTCTCAAATCCTGAGTCCCGCTACTGAGATGTTTTAAGTTTCAATGTGGTTGTATACTTGGAATCTAGGAAACTTATAAAAATAATGATTTCCAGAGGATGTTAAAGTCTACATGAAATCTTGGTACCAATGTCCCAAAAAATGATAAAAGAATGAAACTGTATATCAAAATCCTTAATGATATTACTTAGGTTGACATAAGATATATACAGGTTAACGCCATGAAAAGAATAAAAGAAATGCATTCAGTTGTCAAAACAAAATGGAATTATTATTTTCCAATGTTGTTTCCTTAAACCTCCAAGGTGTTATTAGCATGCATATTTTAAACTTATATTTCAACTATGATTTTGAGCATATTTAAAATGCAATGCATATTTCATGTGCTTTGGTTTTCTTTTCATGCATATGCTGTTGTTTGTATCTTCTAATTCTCATTTAACTATGCTTATGTAGGCAGATTGAAATTGACAGTAAATTTTTAAAAACACAACACATTATGGATTACAGCCTTCTGTTGGGTGTTCATTATCGAGTCCCTCAACACCTGCGATCTCTTATGTCTTACAATCGAAGTTTAAGAGCAGATGAGTTGGGAATTGTTGCAGAAGAAGGTGAACTTCATTCATATCCAACAGCTGATTTTCTTCAGTACTCCAATATGATGCTGTTTGAACTTGCTGATTGTTGGTCAAATAACAAAATACCTTCCTGAACGTGAAATTGAAACAAGCATGAAAGACAATAAAATTGTGAATGTGGTACTCCAATAAGCTTGTATAATTTGCGTGGAAGTTTGCCTTTATATTGTTGCTTGTCACAAGGAGTAAAAAGAAAAAAGATAGGTGTGGAAACCTCAAGGAAATTAACACATACAAAACTTGATTGATATGTTATCCACTGTGTTATTGTGCTGTGAAGTAAACAAAAACTAAGGACGATCAATGGTATGCTGTTAATCTATGAGGGAAATAGCTGCAAATTTCTATCGCTCAAATTTTTTATAGGCTTATAGCTTGTAGTGGAAATGCAATTATTCAAGTTTTCGGAGTTTTCCTCCGTTTTTCCATTTATTATTTGTTTGTTTTTTGTGATCATGTATAGGTCACAAAAAGCCTCTAGATGACACTGGGCCAACATTTGACTGCTTGTTATTAGTATTTCGAAAGACTGAAGCCTTTCCTTGACTTTTTCTTTAGTCTGTTTTTGGATCTTAGATTTGTGGAGCAATTTGTGTAGGAAAAAAGAAATGATAAGGGAAAAGTGAATGAAGTAGATGCTATTTATGTATTTGATTTTTTTTTTTTACATGTCTCTTTTCATTTCCCTTCACAAATCCAAGATTCAAACACGATTCTTGATCTTGATAGCTGGTTCTTAAAGGATTTGGATCTTTCATGCAATATGCTAGGTTTGATTTATGCATAAATGTTGAACGCAAATATTTTTTTCTTCTTTGGATACCCAAAGCCATAATAATTGGATTCTTTCATCTAATCTGAAATCACCATTCCCCTCTTTATACAAATATAACTGCATCATCTATTGGGACATGAAACTCTTAACTAAATTTTGTTGATATGATCCAATCAGAATCTATGGAGGATGAAATCTCCAACTACCCACAAGGCCTTGTTCTGTTCCCCCATAGAGGCGGTGATAATAGTAGTGTTGTAGGCCCTCATATCAGAGGCAGCCAATTGAGGGCTGCATCTGCTACTGGTGATGAGGAAGTGGATGTGGATCTCCTTCTTCCTGGTACAGCAAGGTATGATCATTAAACCAGAATTCTTTTTGACTTTTGCAAAAGCATCCGAAGAAAGCATGCATGATTGATTCTTGAATGCGAAATCCTGTTTAGATTTAGTGTGTAGGTGAATTCAAATGGAAGACTGAAATAATTTTAGTCGCTAATTACCTTTACCGACAATTCTTTGACGATGACTATTGCGACCAAATAATTTAGTTGCTAAAACCCTTCGGCGACTAAAAATTAACTTTTGGTGACTAAAAATTTAGTCGCCAAAAGTGAAAATTCTTATAGTGTATGATTCATTAGTAAAAGTTATGACGTTTTGTTAATCTTATTATGATTGTAGAGAAAAAAGTTGTGGTTATGATTCATTAATAAAAGTTATGACATTTTGTTAATCTTATTATGATTGTGGAGAAAAAAATTGTGGTTATGATTCATTTTAGTAAAAGATATGATTTTACTACCAAACGTTATGATTTGTCATGATGAATCATAATAAAAAATGTTACGATTCAAATGTTATGATAATTGATTAGAAATACCTATATTTGTTATGAGTTGTCGTTATATTGTTATGATTTATAGTGTCTTTGTTATGACACTTTGGTGAATATTATGACATTGTTATGATTCATTGTAATATTGTTATGATATTTGAAAAAAAGTTATGATTCTTTCTGTAACCTATTACATGACCGGTTTAGCAGGTCATTTTTTATGATGTGGCACGATATAGACCATACAATAAGTGCATATCATATGCCCTTTTATAAGGTGCACATTGTAGACTTTCCCATAAACTATAAGTTCTTTCTCACGGCTCTAGTAAACAAGGCCTTTGTCTTTTGTGGTTAAAATAGCCAAAAAGTCGGGTTTTTTAACATAAAATAACCAAACAGTCAGGCTTTTTAACATGGCAAACGAAGGCTTAATAAAATTAACTAAAAAAAATTAAATTCATAACTATCATTTTATACAATAATAAAATTACATAAATTATTAATTAAAATATATTTATGAGATTATTAAAAATTTTATTAATTGCATAGATGATTTATTAATAAAAAAAATATTTATTATAAAATTAAAACTTTAAAGGGATGATAAAATCCAAAACCAGAAAGAAAATTTAAGGGCTGGTTTGGTATGTTTGAAAAAAGTAAAAAAAATAAAAAAGTTAATATTCTATTTAAATCACATCATCTTATTTAAGTCTCATTACCTCTCTAACACATCACTTCAAACCCAACCTATATTTCATAAAAAGTTAAAAAATACACTTATTTAGATCATCCCAAACAACCCCTAAGAATCTATTTATAATTCACCATTAAGGGTTAGTTTAAGATGTGAGTTAGGCTTCGTTTGACAAGTGATTTTTTTGGTCAAAAAGTCAAAAAGTTATTAAAAAAATAAAAAAGCCAACAACTTATACCAAGAAGTCAAAGATTCTCTTTTTTCTCTACTTTTTTGCACATCTTTTCGTAAAAAGCCAAAAAATCATCATAAACATACTAGTTTTTTTTAGCTCATATTTTAGTCAAATAGTCAAAAAAATTACTAAATTAGCCTATTTCCAAATGAGGCATTAGTCTTTTAGTTATTTTAGTTTGAAATTAAAAAGTTCCGTTTAAAATGATTTTTTAATTTTTTAAATTATAAATTGAAAGTAACATTTTATTTTATTTAATTAAAATAATTTATTTTAACCCAAATGAACATCGCAAACGGGCTTGAATTTGTGAGTTAAAAATAAACCATAAACAACTGATCAATATTTAGGTCGATTCGTTTGCATTCGCCGCACGCCATCTCAAATATCAGTAACCGTATAAATATCCCAGGTGTCGATGCTTGAGAGAGAGCGAAGAGAGAGCTGCAAGAAAGTAACGATGGAGAAGCAAGCAGAAGAAGAAGAAAACCCTAACAGCCACGCTGATCTGATCAACACATTCTGCGAGATCGCTTCTGCGTCTCGAGAAGAAGCCCTCTTCTTCTTGGAAAGTCACAACTTCAACCTCGACGCCGCCGTCTCCACCTTCCTCGAAACCTCCTCCTCCGCCACCGCTGTCGCCACCGTCCCTCCGTCGCAATCTCCGCCTTCTTCCGCCTCACCTTCCCGCTCCCGATCACCCTCTCCGCCACCTGCCCTTCGCTCGCATCCCAACCCCTACAGTCTCCGGTCGCGGCACCGCAAGAAGAAGCCCTCCGGGAGTCGTACCGGCGGTGTTCGTACTCTCTCCGATCTGAATCGTCCGTCTACGGATGGCTCTGGTAGCGATTCTGATGATCAGCCCCAAGAGTACTACACTGGTGGCGAGAAGAGGTACCTCTTGTTTTACGTTTTATTCCCATTTTGCCCTTCACCTTCCGTTTTGCTTCCTGAGAAAATACACAGCTCTGATTTAGGTATGTTTGGTATGTATATATATACATTGTCTTTGTTTTGTAGAATGTGTATGTTTTCTATGTTAGTTTTTGGATTGTATGCCAATTGAGGTTCATATCATAGGTCACTGGAAGAGTCTTAACATTCTATTATGAAACTTATTATTTAGTTGATTGAACATGACTGGTGAAATGGATTTGAGGCGTTTGCAGTTTTGGAAGTTCTTCAAGTTTTGATTATAGGAACGAAATACGAAAATAAACAAATATGACTAACTTAGTTGTGCTCCAATCTGGATTTTTGATACTGAAATCTTTACTTGGAAGGAACTCTTAACGGTATGCCTTAATTGAGGCTGAAGAAGTTGGTGAATTTTGTAATCTTTTGTTTCAAAGTCTTTGAATTTGACTATGGTTTTGAAATTAAATTTGATATTCACAACATACATAAGTATATAGCGGGTAGCATCATGATGGTGGCTTTCCTCCTTATTTCCCAATTGGACCTTTTAAATTTACGGGTTTTTTTTCTTGTCAAATTTGGTTTATATCGTACTTTAATTCTTATTACATTTGATTACTACTTAACTCAAAAGGTCTACATGCCAATTATTTGGGGTTTGTTACATGAATGATTTCATCTTATTGGCTCAATTAATGGCCATATCTGCAATCAAGTCGAAGTTAATCATATCTTTTCTCACCATCTCAACCCCTGTTGTTTTTTTTTCTTTTTCTCTTTTCCTTTTGTCACTTTCTACCTTGATGAACTTACTTTTTCTTGCTTGCATGTTGCTTTAGATGGTCTATGTTGCGCATGGTTAAACTATCTCAAAGGTTTTTTCCTCATTTTATGTCCAACCAACACTACTTAAATTCTCATGAATCTATTCATTTTATGATATCTTATTTCTTGTACATTATATATATATATATTATATAATTAATGTTTTTTCTCACCTTGATTTTTGGTAAATTTTTTAGGGCGTGTACCTTTTTTTATTTATTTATATTTTTCATAAAAGCTAGAACTTTTTGTGAATGATGTTGAATAGTCGACATAAAATTTCAGTCATGCATATTGATATCACAATATTTCATACTTTAAATTATCATAAATATTCTATCAAGTGCAGCAATGTTTCTTTAATCATTTCCAAAACATTCACTGTTATACCATTTTTGTGAGATTTTTGATTAACTTCTAGAAATTTGTTTGACCTTTTAAAGTTGTCCAGAGTGGCTGAAACTAAAACGCTTGGTTGATCTATCAAACAAAGCAAAGCCCAATGCTCATGCTTAGTGTCACTTGATTATCGATACGTGTCTTGTAATATTTGATTCATGTATTTCATCTGTACAGGTTTACATTTGACGAAGCTCTTTTCAACACTGAATATTATTGAAGAAATATTTATTTATTTCTACCTTCTAACATTTGCTTATTAAAAATAAATCAAAATGATAAGATTTAACATTTAGCTAATGTTAATATTATCAGTGGAATGCTTGTCCAAGATCCATCCAAAGTCAATGATGTGGATGCAATTTTCACTCAAGCTAGACAAGCAGGAGCTGTAGAAGGACCTCTTGAGAACCTTCACCCATCGTCAAGCTCAAGAAGTTTTACTGGAACAGGGAGACTACTTTCAGGAGAGACTGTGTCATCTGCTCCTCAGCAGCCTGAAGTTGTCACACGCAATATCATTTTCTGGAGTGACGGATTCACAGTAGATGATGGTCCATTGCGGAGGTTGGATGATCCTGAAAATGCATCTTTCTTGGAGGTAGTATTTAGTTCTCATACTGACTGGTATTTATGGGTCCCAATCTTGATGCTTTGCAGTAGTTTGAACTTTGAATTTTTCATTAATCATCATTTGCTGCAAACTTTTCTTTATTGAGATTAGTCCATGAAACTATTCATCTATCATGAACTTGATTGAATATTGTTTAGTTCGTTCAAATGTTCCTAATTGGGGATGAGGTATGGAAAATCATCCATGACATTCAATAATTTAAAATGATCCTGCATACTACAATTTGCATACCGAAGAAGCAACTATTAACTATTGTGGGGATTAATGAATTGAAATTGCTTTCTAACTCTCATTTTTTCTTTTTACCTTTCCATTTCCTCTCCTTATTTCTCATTTGGAAAAACCTGCAAAGGAAGATGCTTTACTAGACTAATCCAAATAAGTCTTATGTCTTGATCAAGTGGGGTCAGCTACGTGATCATTTTTCGCCATTCTACTCTCTCAAGGGCTATATGCTCAATTAAAGATGCTTTACTGGAGGTGCCAGCTATACTTGTGGTCAAAGTTTGAAGGGTTAGTTTTGAAGATCACTTTTTGTCTTTTTGGCTTTTAGGGAGAGTCTCCTACTCCATTGACAATTTTATTGAATTTCATGTACTCATGGGATATATATCGTCATATAGGTGTCTAGAGAGTTGGTTTGTCGTTCTCTTCTGTAATTTGATTATACTTGGATTGTGCCTGTGATGGCACTGCTCTGTTATGTTATTTTTGGAAAGAAAAGGTTATTCTTCCAGTAAATTCCCATTGACCATACAACTGACCATTTGCATACCTGAGCTGAGCTAAGCTTATCTGGAATTTCAGTCCTTTTTTATGAAGGGTTCGATCTTATTTGCAATTATCAATGATTTTCTAATTGCGAGGATGCTATCTTGTGGTTCCCTTACATCTCAATGCAGAGCATCAGTAAGTCCGAGTGTCCAAAAGAACTCGAGCCAGCAGATAGGAGGACTGCAGTCCATGTCAATCTGATGAGGAAAGAAGAAAATTTTCCAGTGCGTTCATATTTCTTCCTTTTACTTCTTGTATTTTCCTTCATCGTTGGTGTCCAGCACTTACCACAGCTTTGTTTTTTCATCATCTGTGTCCTTCACGTACCACAGCTTTGTTTTTTCTTTGTGCAGATACCAGAGAAGCACCTTCTCGCATTTCAGGGCGTGGGAAGAACTTTAAGCAGCACCACCACATCCACAGAGCCTACAGTGGCTACCACTTCCTTCAATACTGCTCCAACCCCGTCCATGGGTCTAGTTGTGGACGATGCATTACCTTCTACCTCAATTCAGCTCAGGTTGGCAGACGGTACACGCATGGTTTCGCGCTTCAACTACCACCATACAATCAGGGATATCCGCACCTTCATTGATGCATCAAGGCCCGGGGGTGCAAGGACATATCAATTGCAGACGGTGGGGTTCCCTCCCAAACAACTCACTGATCTGGACCAATCAATTGAACAAGCTGGACTTGCCAATTCTGTTGTGATCCAGAAACTCTAGCAAGTCATGTAATTGGTGTCAATTAGTGTCAGATATACTTAGACAGACATCAGGTGCGGTTACTATTGCTTTTTATTTAATGCGTGGACATAGCCCTTGACACAAACAATAATATTCAAATTAATATGTTTTTCTCAGACTCTAGAGATCTAGTCATCTGCTGGAAACTGTCCGTCTTTCTTTATTTTTAGTCAGTACATATGTTCCCAAGCATGAGAACTGCTTGAATCCAGTAGCATCAGATGGGGAGTTTTTAAAAACACCCGCTTCATTTCTTTCCACACCCGCCACGCATTGTCAATTAATTAACACTTTATTTAAAGAGAAACATGTGTACATGCAAGTATAAGGAAAAATTAGTGGGTGTATGTAGAAGCTCCCACAAGTTGGTGAATTGATTCACATTCAAGTTGACTTCATTGTCTTCGACAGATCAAGATTGATCTTAACCTGCCAAAGGGGAAATCCAGATGATTTTCCTGGCAAATGAAAATTCTGCCCCGTTTGGGGACTTACCTTTTTAGCAAAAAAGTTAAAAAGTTATCTTTTTAGCTAAAAAGCCAACAACTCGCACCAAAAAGTTTTTCTCTCTACTTTTTTGCACATCTTTTCGTAATTAGCCAAAAAGTTATCCCAAACATATAAGTTTTTTTTACTTACTTTTTTAGCCAAATAGTCAAAAAGTTACTAAATTAGCCTGTTCCCAAACGAGGCCTTAGCAACGGATATTCATCAAAAAGACTGCAAATTCTCTGCACCATTCATATGGTCAATGTGGCTACTGTTCCAAACTATGTCTGTGTTTAGACATTTTTCCAGGAGTTATAACTGCCCAGTTTATTTATCTTGTTTTATGAAAAAAAACAAGTGTTTTTTTACTAGTGATTATGAAATGGTAGTTGTTGTGTAAAGCTGTGGTGTTGCTTGGTGGTGATGGTAGAGTTGGAATGAGAGAATTTTTTTATTTTTTTGGTCTTTTTCTTTTTCTTGTGATCATGGAGTGGTGTTTTTTGTACCTATGGTGGGTGGGTAATGATGTAATTGGTGGTGGGTGGTTGTGGTGGGGGTGGGTAGTGATATTAATGGCAGTGTGAAATGTAGGGTGGCGGTGGGCAGTGATATTATTTGAGAAAATCAATCCGCAACCGTCCGCTCGTCATCACGCATCCGTCCAAAATGTGGCGGATCGGTTTGGTTCGGTCGGTTTTGGCGGATCGGTATATCCGCTGCTCACCCCTAGTAGCGACGGTGGTGATGCAACTGGTGTGAACTCTAAGGTGATAGTTCTGGACTGAATAATTATTTTTTGTTTTTTATTTGTTAACTAAAACTACAGCCTTGGCTGTGTTTTCCTAACCGTTATATGACTAAAGGTTAACTGAAGGGAAGGTGTACATCAAACAAAATTATGATATGTTCAAATCTTGAATTTATTAAAAGAATGAAAAATGGAAAAAATATAAATTTAACTTTTGTGACTTTATTTTTTGTTTGTTTATCTTTTCTTTCTAGAAATCTTTACTGATTCAAAGGGTTGTAACATGCAATTATGCGAAGGACCCCCACATTGTCAATTACTTACTCCATTAGCCATGATGATGAGCTTTTCTTCAAATAGTAGAGTTAGAAAATGATGATAATGAGGGTAAGTTTTTTCTCTCTTTTTTATTTTATTTTAAATTTAAATTTAAATTATTCTTGTGAGATTGGGAGAAAATAATATGTTCTTTCAATTTTCTTCTTTATCATGTGTAGATATATCTATATGTGTATAGGAAGTGAAGTCTTCCGTTGTAAACGGAGGCAAAGAAAAAATGTCTCTGGTTAGGGTTAAAAGGAGTGAAGTCTAAAGGGTAATTTTTTCATTTCATATTGAATGATAAATTTTTCTTTTTAACACAATATTTCAAGGCCAAAAAGGTATTTCTCTTTCATATTCCAATGGTTTTATTAATTTTACCCTTAATGAAAGAAAAGCTTATATGATTATATCAAAAATTTTGAGCTTATTGTAATTATTTTTTTAATTGGAGCTTAAATATTAACGAAAATTTTATTTTATTTTTTAATGACGACAAAATAACAATGTTATTACGGTGACAATTTCAAAGATGCCCCAAAAAAAACAAGTAGTCTTGTTTTTAGACCACACTTGATGGATCAGATTAATTTGATTTTAATTGAAAGATACCTTCTTTTTTTTTTTGGTTTATTTTTGGTCTGATTGAAAGATATGCTCTAAGCACCTAAGGTTTGATTTGGGTGATTTAGGCTTGTCCTGTGCATTGAAGTACTGACCCATTTTTCATTGTGAAAGCTAAGAAAAATGACATATAGTTAATTATTATAAGGTTTGACTTTGCATACACTACTTTACAATCCTTAGTTGGTCTCCAATAATACAAATTTATCATATTTCTTTTAGTTATTATATAATGTGACATATATGACTATTCAATATTAGTAAAATTTATTATGTATCATGTTAAGTACTAAATAAAATGTGACAATAAAAATAACAAGTGTAACATTATCGATAAGTCTTATATATCGTCTTTTTTTATAATTACATAATTGATTACAAAAAAAATGTCGATAATTATATAAATAAGGCGATGTGACTCACTATTTAAAAATTGGTCCATGCACATTAATTTATTTATATTTATTTTTTATTAATTTTGCAGTATATTTGTTTATATAGAAACATTGTTCTATTTCAAGTTTCTAAACTAGTATAATTATTATTATTATTTTTCCCCCCTCTTGTTGAGTCATTCCTGCATTATCATTACCCTTTGTTCCAATTTTTATTCATTTTTGTAACATTATATTAATTTTTTTCTTTAGTAGACACCAAGTGCCGTTTTGGAAATTTTCATAAAAAGTCACGTTTTTTATCATTTCCCAAAAACGTATGTGGCCAAAAACGCAACAAAATTGATTTGGGAATGGCTAAAAACGCAAGTGTGAAATTACAAATTAAGGCCTATAACAAAAAAATAAATTTCTTATGTTGGGTAAAAGGATTTTGGTCATTTTAATTTGATTTGATACCATAAATAAATATTAAACTAAAAAGTAAAAAGTTAATTTTTTACCAATTTTCTAAATCAATTTCCAAAATATTAAAAAACTTAATAAAAAATCAAAAATTAACTTTTTATCAATTTTCCAAAACACACCCACGAGTCACCACATTAGTTGGTTTGGGGTGTACTCTTTCTGCTCCAATTTCCCAAAGCCAAATAAATAATTAAGCATATGCTTTGTAATGCTCCATCAACAATGAAAAAGCATGTGCAATATGAATTATAGCCAAAATAAATAAATAAATAAATAAAAGATCTATTAATAAAATTAACATACAGTAACCTATTAATTTAATTTTTCAAATTAAAAGGATGTAATTTGTATTTGTATTTTTATATTTAAAATAAAATAAATAAACTGTGGGCCCTAATTGAAAAGAAACACAAACCTTAAAATGGACGCGCATGCACGCATCAATCAAATAATATGATGTTGGTGTAGTTGATGATAGATAGCTAGATAGACGCTGTATGGTGGTGACTATTCATGTCCGCACCGCATCCAAACAAAACCCTTCCCGTCCGATCTCTGTCCCCCTCCCTCCCTCCTCTTTCTCTCTCCTCTCTCTAGACTAGACACGCTCTCTCTGTCCCCCCAGCAACTAGGGTTTCTGTTCTGCTCTACTCTCTGAAACCTCCATTTCTGCTTCAATCACCTCCAAACCCCTCCATCCAAACTAAGTGTAAGCTCGGATTCAGCTCTTTCTCTCTCTCTACAAAATCCAATACTCCTCTCTTTCTCTCTCAAACAATAGCTTCAAAGCTCAATCGTTAATGGCGAAGACCAAACCAGGCAAGAAAGACGTTGATTCTTACACCATCAAAGGCACCAACAAAATCGTCAGACGTAACTCCCCCTCACTCTCTTTCTATTTCTCTCTCATACACTATCTTTCTTTCTCTCTAATTTTTGTTTTTTTTGGCAGCTGGGGATTGTGTGTTGATGAGACCATCGGACTCCGATAAGCCTCCATATGTGGCACGCGTGGAGAAGATCGAGGCCGATCACCGGAACAACGTTAAGGTTCGGGTTCGGTGGTACTACAGGCCTGAGGAGTCTATGGGAGGTCGGAGACAGTTTCACGGAGCAAAAGAGTTGTTCTTGTCGGACCACTACGATGTGCAGAGTGCTCACACGATAGAAGGGAAGTGCATTGTTCACACATTCAAAAATTACACTAAGCTTGAGAATGTTGGTGCTGAGGATTACTTTTGTCGGTTCGAGTATAAGGCTGCCACCGGAGGTTTCACTCCCGACCGTGTTGCCGTGTGAGTTGAATTTCCTGTTGAGTTTTGAATTGGTTTGTTTGTGTGAGTGGTTTTTTTGGACTAATGAATTACTGTTTTGATGATGTTATTTTTTGAAGGTATTGTAAGTGTGAGATGCCATATAACCCAGATGACCTCATGGTGCAATGCGAGGGCTGCAAAGACTGGTATGCCTTTTCTTTTTCTTTTTTTTTTTTTGAAAAAAATTACTTCATGATTATGTTCTGGAGCTATAATTTGCTTTAATTATAAAAATTATTATTATTATTATCATTTTTTTCTTCCATTTGGCATGTTGGGGTTCTATACATGGAATTACAGATGAAATTTGCTATTACTTGCACTCTGTTTAGTTTCTTCACTTGATGAGCTGATTTAACTGAGTTCTTTCTCATTATTGTTTTCCTTGGGAAGGGAATTGAAAAAGGAGAGGGAAACGAGCGTAAGATAATCACTATGGACATTGATTATTGCTATGTTTGGTTTTTGGATTAGTCAAGGAAAATGAGAATCTAAATTTCTTACTTTTGCTTGTTCCATTTGGGAAGATGAAAACAAGAGGAATAGACATTTCTTAAGATTCTTTTTTGGTTGTTTACCCATAGAAAAATTGAGTAATCACGAGTAATTTCATCTCCCTATTCTTTTCCTTTCGCTTGACAAATTTTGAATCCAAACATAACCTAAGGTACTAGATTTTGGGTGAATCTTAGGGGAATAAATAGATATTGTGATGCCACGTGAAGCCACTTTGAGAATGAAGTTTTAATTAGTCTTCCGCCATTCATTTGGTTTGTTGCTTGTGGTATACTTTTTTTTTTTAATTCTAGAATTCAATTCAGATATTCCATCTTTCATTCTTTTACATTTTTGGCAGATCTAATTGTAGTCTTAATTAGTCTTCCGCCATTCATGTATTGTTTTATCTGATCAAACTCTCATTAGCATAATGAGGCTCCTTTTGTTATTTTGTTAATTTGGAAAACAGGAATCTTTTACTGAGGGTCTCTCTTTTCCGTTTTATTTTGCTTTTATTTCATCTGTCTAGACACAATTTTACATGTTCGAAATGTCCAAGGAAGGAGTATATAAACACACACATTGGTTTAACACAAAATTTGCAAGAAATGTAAGGCATGGTGGGTCATCGGGTTCTTAATAAAAAAAATTATTAGACTAATTGCAAAGGAACTGTTTCCTAGGCCTGTGACTTTGAATGTCACAAAAGCTTAGAGGCGATTCTTTGTGAAAGAATATTTTTTGATAAGCTTTCATGAAGAAATATTTTTATTTTTATAATAATTCACAACACTTGTAGTAAATTTATCTAAACTCAAGAAGAAAAGTTCAGGAATGACTTGTGAATATCAAGTCCAAAAGGTCATGCTATCTAGGAAGAAACTTGGAAAGAATATTTTTTCTTTTTGTGACCATTAGGAAAACTGATTGAAGTGGTGTCTTGCTTTGGTGTATACCTTCTTTAATTATTTGTAATTTTAATGCTTTGTAAAGCTAAATTAGCATGATTGAAGTGGAAATCCTTTTATTGGGAGGTATTGCAAAAAATGCTTGTAAATATTAATTGAAAGAGGCTTGTAGTTCAAAATTCCTTAGAGCACTAATACCTCAGTTAAGGTGGTGCCTGTCAATTGATGGAGTTAAGATGGTTCGTTATAGAAGTGGGAAAAGATCGAGCTAATGAGAGAAGAAATATTGGGATATTCTGAATTAAAAATGTGGTGAAAGATTTATTGGAAGGACAAAGTAGAATCTCATATATGACCATAAGTAGTTGAAGCAAATTACCTCATGAGGTTATGTAGAGTGAAAATTACATGAGTGTGTTTTCTCCCATGGGATCTGGAGGGAGTCTCATATGTTAGTTGTTAAAATAATTGAGGTCATGTAGTGTGGGACACTACATCACAGGAATATGTTTTGCTTTTGTAGTTTGCAGAGAGGCTCTTATCAATTTATTGATTTAGGTGTTCAGCCTCAATGATCTATCTGCATTCTGTCCCTTACCTATGAGCATGTGTGTATGACAATATCCATAAATAGTTACATTTTTTCCTTAATACATAAACAAATAATTTGCAGGTTTCATCCTTCTTGTATGGGTATGACTATTGAGGAAGCAAAAAAATTGGAACGCTTTTTGTGTTCTGACTGTTCTGATGATGATGCAAAGAGATCGTTAAACTCAATCCCGGTATCACCATCTGTTGAGGCTAAGGTGAAAATACTTTTCCCCCCAGTTTGATATAACTGGATTTCTGTGTATTCAGTCATTGCTTAATATTGTGAATATAACTGTACTTTTTGTGCACAATGTCATATATACTCTTTTCGATTGATTCTATGAATGTGTATTACTATTTTGTTATGTCAATTGAATGATGAGAATATATATTTTTTATCCGCTGATAAATAATTGAATGATAAAGTGAATGTAATAAGATCAGAGAAAACACCTAGGTTAGACGGACTTCAAAGTGTGTATGGGAATTTGTGTTGACTTGACATGAAACTTGTGTGTGTATGGGTTATGTGTCACTGCCAAGATTGTTATTAGACATTTTCGCAATTAGGAGTATACAACAAAGAAATATTAAGCGCGTCACCTGATTCATTAGAAGTTTCTTAGAATACTTTGTAAATATGTTTTCATGTAACATAGATATTGCTTACAAATTTTTCTTTTAAATTATCAATAGGAAATACAGCAAGTGCCCATGTTCAACGAGCAATATTGTGAGGAGACTAAGAACATTTGTCTTGGTGATAGCACAATTTATACCCCATGTTCTAAAATTTGGAATTCGATTGATCTAACTCACACATCAAGGACAAAGATATACATCAGTTAAGAAAATAATCATCCCAGGATAAATCATGGACCTTTTTGCTGGCCAGTACACCTTCACCAAGTAAAAAAATTTTAGTTGCCAACTTTGTAGTTTTCGTTACTGAGCCTTTTTCCTCGCAGAGACTCCTTATTCTTCTCTTTCATTACTGAGGCTTATTCCTGTGCCATTTTTGCCATACCATGTCTATGTATCCAAAGTTTCCACAGGTCAATCATAGATCAGCATTCCTGTTGACATTATCTCACTGGAAGCATTTTCGTGGGCACTCACCTGAATTTCTACATTGCTTTTGATTTAAGATAGGTTTTCCATTAATTCTGTCCTTGCCTTGTCCAGAGCGGGTAATGTATATATTGTTATGAGTGCTGTTTGCCTTATCTTACCCATTGTTCCACTGTTATTATTGTAATTATATAGAGGACTGTATCTCTCGTGATTTTTCTTAGTGACTAAGGCCTGATTTGGAGTTGTCGAACCTATTTGAAGGTGCTGATCACAAGGTTCTGAAGCAATAAGCTGCAAGTTGGAAGTTGAAAGTTGGAACCAATAAGGTTGCCGTTTTTATTTGAGGGCAAGTTGGAAGTTGACATAATTCATTTAAGCCTTAGGGAGGGTTTATGTGTTACACATATATATCTATATATTATAAGAAAAATTTTTGTTGCTTAGTTGTAATATTTATGATAAATGTTTATTATTATTATTATTGGTAAATAAGCATTATACTAGCACTTAAACTATTAGACACACAAGGATATTAAATTTGCCTTGCAAAAGTAACAATTCATCACCAATGGCATATATTTTACCCCTCAATCCTCACAAACTCAAACTGAAAGATTTATTGAAAAATCTCCGTCATTCAATTTCTAAAAAGAAAGCCTAAATTTAGGATAATGGTCAATTCCCTACAAATTTTCTTTTATTTCTTTGGGATTAATATGTTTGAGTGGTCCTATTCTAGTTGGAACCAATTAATATGCTTTAATTTAGGATAATTATCTGTTCCCTACAAATTCTCTTTTAATTTCAAAAGAGAAGCAAGTTTGACAAAAAAATAATCCAAAAGTTTTACTGTATTGCTAAATTCAAACTGCCTTTCAATGCATTTCCTGTCATGATTGGATTTGATTGCAAATTTTTTTTTTTTTTTTTTTTTTTTTTTTGGGAGTGTGAAATTAAATATATGATTTAAAATGTTATTTTAATAGTTGGTACTGTGTATGTGTGGGTGTTGAGGGAAAAATTGTCTACCTTACCTGGGGTTGCGTTGCTCACTGTTTACTCTTACTTGGAGGAAGTCATGTCCTGGTTATGTCATACAAATTTAAATTATTTAACACAAGGCATATGGGGCCAACAACCTTAATAAGATCAATGTAGCATTCATATATTGTACGGTTTTGATATTTACTAGTGTTGGATTTCTGGTATGTCATGTCAATTACATGGGCAAGAGAGCAGTGAATTAAGTTGTGTTCCATCTTACAACTCTTTACCATAGGTTTTGATTTAATTACAGATTATCTGTGTTCATATTGGATTCTTGTGAGGCTGCTTGTTTTTTATTCGCTTTATTGAGTTTGATAATTCATGGAACTCCCCCCACTATACTTTTAGTATTGTCTATTTGAAAGCTCTAAAAACACATGAGGGAGAGCTTTCAAACCAAGTCTTCATTACAAAAATCTTAATGACTGTCAATGTCATCTTATTGAAAAATGGTTCGGTTTCTATTTCACAATTTTTCTCCTTAATCTTTTAAATTATCAGTTCATATATTGATTGATGTGATAGAGAACATATGTTCAGGAGATTAAGATGGTAACGAGGAAGATTTAGAAAAGATGGGAGTTTTGATGAGCTATACTAACGTGATTAAGGGCATCTATGATGAAGCAGCAGTGGCAAACAAGTAATTCATGTAGCAATAGGTTTCCTTAAGAAATGTCACTGTGTTCTTTTGCTTTTCCACTCATTGTATATGAACATACTAGGCATATTGGGATTAGAAATATAGAGCTACACTAGACCTTCAAGGTTTTAGGTTAAATAGAATTGAAAGCAAACACATTACTGTAACTTAGTGAAGCTAGGAGGTATAGTAGAAATCTAAAGCGAAGATATATCTAGGAGTGAGCACTTCCATCATTATGGATTCATTATCCATAAGATCTGATGATTGAAGAGAAAAATACACATGGATGATGAAGTGGTGTATAATTTGTTGATGGCGAACAATTTTCTTTTTTCTTTTTTCTTTTTTTTTGGGTAAGGTCAATGATGAACAAATTATTACATTTAGAGTGTGTCAACATCTATTGAAAGAACAAATTAAATAATTTTGAGTCTTTCATTTAAACAATGACAGGTTGAAGTAATAGTACCTGAGTTGCTAGTTTTACCCACTAGATTGCTAAGAAAACATGTAAGAGGAAATAAAATTTAGAATCTTAAGAAAAGTTTTTGAGTCCTATCGCTGTCTGATATTCTTTTCAATGTTATGTTTTTGTTTTGTGTGTTTTCTGTCATAATGAAAAATGTTGTTATGCTAGAAGAATTTGGGTACTCATAAAATAGAATATGTTTGCTTTGTGATTTTTTTGATTGATTCCAATATACGAATATTGCTCAACCTGGTGCTTGTGTTCTATTATTATTATTATTATTTTATTTTATTTTTTTCTTATAATGGTGCTTATGTTCTATTATTATTATTAGTTTTTCCCTATAATGGTGCTTATGTTCTATTAATGAATCATTTAATGTCTAAGGGGATTGTGTCTGATTCCAATTCTAGGTGGAGCAGCCAAAGCGCAGAAAGAGATGACGGATTGGTCATGATGCATGCTGTGGAGGTACTCGTTTTCTTGCGTATTAGCTGCAGTATTGTTGTTGTGTTGTTGAATTGTACAGTGCAGAGAAGGTACAGTGCAGAGAAGGTACTGTGCTTGCACAAACCAGAGGCTTTCCTTAATTTACTGTATTGAACCTCATTATCTATAAATGTTCGTTGATGTGTGCTAGACTCGGGAAATGACTCTATCTTTGTCTTGTCTTCATGTGACTACAATTTGTGTGCAAAATGGGGATAAAAAATTGGCAGTAACTTGTTGAAGTTCGGAGTCCTTAATGCAACATTAAACTAGAATTATTAAGAACTAAACTTGAATCTGTTGTGATGTGCTTTGCTGGTTTTGTTTTGTATTGTATTGATGAGAATTGTTGAAGGCTACATTTAGCATGGGAGATATGACAAGGCTGTGCAGTCTGCACTAGCAGATCAAGATACTGATGCATCTTGCATTTAAAAGAAAAAAAAGATTTTCGATGCAGCTTTGAGTCCTTTTTCAACTCGTGAGATTTGATTATTCGATCGGTTAGCAAGTGGATACTAGTTTTTTGGAGTTTGTTTCAGAAGATTGCTTATGTGCAGCCCAACTTGAGATTTTCTATGAATTGGATTGTTTCCACTCTCGGTCAGATATTGGTTTGCAATATGAATTGGGTCCATTTGAATCAATCTGCCTTTCCCAAACTCAACTGTTTCAGTAGCAATGGATTTCATTTGTTTGAGGGGTTTACTTGTAGAAGGCTGCTGGGCAAGTTGGCTATATTATGAGCCTTTGTTCCATAGCTCATTATCTATATGTTTTTTTTTTTTTTTTTTAAATGACTTTGTATTTATATATATATATATATATAGAAGTTGTGGGTGTGTGTGCGCGTGCACACAATATAACTGCAGCAGTTACATAAATTGTCAATTTTGAATATTACAATTCTATTGTTACAGTTGAGACAAACGAAAGTTTTTCAAACAGTCAAAATGGAGATTTTGTTGATCAAACAGAAAGCATTAAACAGTTTGAAAAAATGTTGCCACTAAATTGATTTGTTCACTTAATAATATGGTATATATATATTTTAAGTTTTGGAAACCATGCTAGGGCCAGTGATGCTAGGGCACTTCTTAATCTAAGTTACATGTTTAGGGATATTAAAATCGATCACAGAATTAGACACGTAATACATATGTATAGACAAGATTTTTCAAAAGCTGATTTCATTAATAATTTTTGTAAAATATTATCCATTCATATATATTTTGCATTTAATTCTATGATCGGCTTTTAATTGTTTAATTGTCGGAGGAAAATGTAGATTATTATAATATTTGTTTTGAAGGAAATATTCTCAAATCATTTAATGTAAAAGATGTATGGTTAATTTTGTTTTTCTTTTCTTTCAATTTTATTATTATTTTTTCTGAAGAAATAATTTTTTACTAAAAGGACGGTCGATTCAAATTATCTACTGGGAAGTATTTTTGTGGCTAGGTCAGTGTGGGTGGTCCATAAATAAGTGAAGGATGGGCGGCCCTTTAATTCAAAATAATCACATCACTTCCCCGGTTGCCCACATCTAGTATATATTAGTTGAACATTCGATATTGGTACGGTATCTAATCAAATATTAAATGCGATGGTTACTTAGGTCAAGTTTGACATCTTTAAAATGATCTATCTTTTTATTTTTTTATCTTTTTTTTCATCACATCACTTTTTTATTTTTTTACATATTTTTTTCGTAAAAGGATAAAAAGTACACTTATTTAGATCATTTCAAATAACCCCTTAAATTTATATAAAAGTTCAACTTATTTATCTTATATTAAAAATTTTTATTTGTCGAATAAATTTCACTACAATCTTATTTTAAATGTAAATGTACATAAGTCAGTGTGGGTGGTCCATAAATAAGTGAATGATGAACGGCCCCTTCAATTCAAAATAATCACATCACTTCCCCAGTTGCCCACATCTAATATACATTAGTTGAACATTCGGTACGGTATCTAGTCAAATATTAATTGCGATGGTTACTAAATTTATATAAAATCCAATTTATTTATCTTATATTAAAAATTTTATATTTGTCAAATAAATTTCATTACGATCTTTTTTTATATATAAATGTATATAACAATCATATGCAATGGTTACTAAATTTATATAAAAATTTAACTTATTTATCTTATATTAAAAAATTTATATTTGTCAAATGAATTTCACTACAATCTTAATTTATATGTAAATGTATATAACAATCATATGTCATCTAACAAACTCCACTAACAATCATATAACAATGCATTTTATACACATTAAGCGAAAAATGAAAATAAAAAATTTAATTTAGCGATTGCTATATAGTAGATTGTAAAAAAAATAAAATAAAATAACATGCAAGTTTGTGTAACGAGTACTGTTAAAAATATTAATAAATATGAATCATATACAAATAAAAATATCTCCTTATAAAAGGAAAAATTATTTATAAATCCTATTAGGGATACTTATGTTACATATGATCTTACTAAAAAACTTATGTTCCCATAAATCCTGTGGGAAGTTTGTTAACACATTTACTCTCAATATTAGTTGTTAATATCATAAATAATAGTAAAACCATATATAAAAAAATTAAATATTACCATAGATCATATCTATATAAACGTAACGTAATGTGATACCTATACGTAACGTGACACCTACATAAACGTAACGTGACACCTATGATCTATATAGGAAATTGCATATTATCATAGATCATATCTACATAAACGTAACGTAACGTGACACCTACATAAACGTAACGTGACATCAACATAAACCAGCAACATTTTTACATTCAATTTAAAAACATAAAAACTCATTAAATTTGCGAAACGTAATGTGACACGTTACGTTACGTTACGTTTATGTAGGTGTCACGTTACGTTACGTTTATGTAGAATCTTGTGGAATACATTCCTATCTAAATAGGATTTGAGACTCTATAAGAAATTACACAGGACTTAACCTACCATAAGTGTCTGAAAAAAAGACTTATAAATATGTCTCCCTATATAAAATGATATGAAAAATTTATATTAACAGTTGTGATTGGGAGCTCTAAGGTCATGTTTGATTCAAAAGATTAATAGTGAAGTATTAATAATCCTATTAAATTAGTGTAGTATTCACTATCCAATTGGATTAATATCCATTAGATTAATAATCACACCCCTACCCCATTACTAATAATCCTACAAATTTGTTGGATTAATTATCCATTGGATTAATAATCCTAAACCAAAATGTTAAAACAAACATGGAATAATTGGGCCTACAGATTAATAATCTCAATCCCATACTCTAATCCACCCAATCAAACATGCCCTAAAGGAGTTGCTCTAACAACAACTCTAATGAGCTAGCATGGAATAAAAAATTAAAAATTAAAAAAAAAACAAGAAACATATATCACATAAACGTGGGTCAGACCCACTATCAGCTCATTAGAGCTAATTTTAGAGTTCAAGAATTAGAGTTTTAAAGTATTTTTCTTATAGCTGTATTAATACATTTCAAATTAAATAGGCTTATTTTTTTAAAAAATATTATTATTACATAACTTTTTTTTAAAATTTATTTTTGTAAATTAAACTCAACCTTATTGAGAATTCATAGATTCAATTTTCTCTTCGTGATCAAATGTATTAAAAATAAAGAAAAATTACGGTTACAAATAAATTTTCAATAAAAAATTATCAAAATTTATTAGTAAATCTCATTAATTAGAGCATCTCCAATGCACTAGGCATATAATACTTGTTAGTTAAAATGCCTAGTGTGATTCACTTTTTTCAATTCCAACGCACTAGGCATATGATTAGACATTTTGGCTCAACTCATATTCACTAGTTACATGTAGCTAGCCTTCAACGCTAGGCAAAATGTATTCAATCATTAGGATCATTTCCCTTCATCTTTGTTGTTGACGTGGCATTCTATAAAATTAATAGTATTGGATTAATAGCTAAAATAAAAAGCATAGTTGGAGTAAAAATATAAAACAGTTGATAGATAAAATAAAATATATATTTTATAGTAATATTTAGATAGGTAAAATGCCTACTACCGTTGGAGATGCTCTTAAACTCACTGATATCGTATGTACCTATATTAGTAGGTATGCTAGTTTCTTAACATAAATTGTTATGATATATATATATATATATATATTTTGATGGTGATATGGTATTCTTTTTATTAATTCAAAAACCGAAAGTCAAAATGCCAATATTCCCAATATGTATATATAAAATTTATTTATTTATTTATTTTCCCTCTTCATCCCCACTCTCAACGTGGCTCGAAATATCCAAAATAGCTCTCTCTACAAAGATTGATTTTTAGGGATTGTAATTAGGGTTTCAATTCATTAGATTTTCAATCCAATCCCTGATAGCTCCATTTCTAGTGGTTGTTTGTGTCTTCATCTTCTTTCACAGATCTTCAATTGTAGTATCAATGCAAGTCATTTTCTCTCTCTTCCTCAATCTCTTCGTCCCTTCAATTCAAAAACGCAATCATTCGATTTCAAAGTCAACTCACACGCAGAGTCCAGACTTCTTCGATTTAGAAGCCATTCCACGCACTAAATCTCAGTGCTGAATCGTGATTTTGGTATCAGGTATGATATTGTGATTAAGGTTATTGTTTTGCTGTATAATTGTATCTCCGTGGTTTGTGTTCGTGAAATCTTGAAAATGTATGTGTTTTAAGGCATTTCAAGGTGGAAAATTTTGGGGATAGGGTTAGGGTTTTGTGGATATGATTAGGCAGATTCTGGGTAAGCTTCCTCGGAAGCCATCGTCGAAATCATCACACAACGATTCGAACAATGATGGGGCGGTTTCAACTATGAATTCCTCGACTTGGAATTCCATGAATAGCAGCTCGAAAAGCACTACGGTTTCTGGGAAAGTTTCGAATTTGGGTTCTGGTGCAGGTCGCTCTATCAATGGAACATATGCCCCAAACTCAATGAGTAAATCAAATCAAGGGAAGAAATCGGGTCCCTTGGCTGCTCAAGGTGGTGGACCGGTGTCGAATATTGCAACATATGAAGCTTTGCCAAGTTTTCGTGATGTTCCAAACCCAGAAAAGCAGAATCTTTTCATTAGGAAGTTGAAAATGTGTTGTGTTGTCTTTGATTTTAGTGACCCCTCTAAGAATATCAAAGAGAAGGATATAAAGCGGCAGACATTGCTTGAGCTTGTTGATTATATCTCCACTGTAAATTCAAAGTTCAATGAGGTCACAATGCAGGAAATTACAAAAATGGTAGCTACCAATTTATTCAGAACTTTTCTATCCACTAATCATGAAAGCAAGTCACCTGATATGTATGATGCAGAAGAAGAGGAACTGGCGACGGAACCATCGTGGCCTCATCTTCAGATTGTGTATGAATTTCTACTTAGATTTGTGGCTTCGTCAGAGACAGATGCCAAGCTTGCTAAAAGATATGTAGACCATTCGTTTGTGTTGCGTTTGCTGGACCTGTTTGACTCTGAGGATCAAAGAGAGAGGGAGTACTTGAAGACGATTCTCCACCGCATTTATGGGAAGTTTATGGTGCATCGGCCATACATTAGGAAAGCCATCAACAATATCTTCTACCGTTTTATCTTTGAGACAGAGAAGCACAATGGGATAGCAGAATTGCTTGAGATCTTGGGCAGTATTATTAATGGTTTTGCTTTGCCTTTAAAGGAAGAGCACAAGCTTTTCCTTGTCCGTGCCTTGATTCCACTTCACAAGCCCAAGTGTGTAGCCATGTATCACCAACAACTTTCATATTGCATCACTCAGTTTGTGGAGAAGGATATAAAGCTAGCTGACACGGTAATTCGTGGTCTTTTAAAGTATTGGCCATTAACTAACAGTTCAAAGGAGGTGATGTTCCTCGGTGAGTTGGAAGAAGTTCTAGAAGCCACACAGGCTGCAGAATTTCAGCGCTGCATGGTCCCCCTTTTCCGTCAGATTGGACGCTGCCTCAATAGCTTACATTTTCAGGTACTGCGTACAGTTTATTCACCCCAAAATCCATATTTGCTGAATTTATTGTTGTTGTTTCTTTTAGTGGTAGGTACTATATTAATTGTAAGGGTAAATTTTTGCTTTGTCCCCTTGGGTTTGGGGCATGTGTATGTAATCCCCTAACATTGGGTAATTCAATTTGCACACCACATTTTATCTCAGTACACACCATTTATACCTTTTGTATATCAACTTTCGAACAAAAAATGAATGTTCAGATATCAAATTTTGAACAAAAATAAATTGTTCGGATATCAATTATTGAACAGGATTTTTGTTCGAAAGTTGATATTTGAACAATTGATTTTTGTTCGGAAGTTGATATCTGTGCACAAATGGTGTATTGAGATAAACTGTGGTGTTGAATCGAATTAACCCCCTAACTTTAGGAAATAAGCAGAAAATATGGATTAAAATACCCTGGTAACATCTGTTAAACACACTTATAAATTCCTAAATACCCTCATTTTCTTCCTCCCTTGTGAACTAAACCTTGGTATATATGCATATATGTGTATAAAGCAATCAACTTCCCCCTCCCTTTCCCACCACCCCTTTATGAAACATGACAAAGCAAGGGTCACTTGAGATGTTTCATATCTTAGAACAAAATCCTTTACTATGGGAATCCCCATAAAGGGAATTTAGCTCATCAGCCACAACTTGATTTCCATACCTGGATGTTTCTAGTGTTCTCAGTGGGAACTACCAGATTGAGAATGTATGGTTGGCAGTGGGGGAAGTGGCAGTTACTGAAAGAAATTGAATCACACCTCTTAAAGATTGTTAATAATGAACAGCTGGTGAATGATTTCAAGAGGAGCTCAGGAAGAAAAATAAAAGTGGAGGGAAGAAAATGCTACAACTGTCACTCCAACAGATTAATAAGCTTCAAGTAGATCTCAGAGACAGAAGCAATGAGACTTCTGAGGGAATAGAATTGCAAGGGAAATTACTCCAGCTGATTGAAACAAAATGCTTCGAGTTACTGTCAGACAAGAAGAAAAGAAGCAGTGTTGTTGCTGCTTAAAAAATTCTGAAACTCAATTCAATGGGACCAAAAAAAAAAAGGCAAAAAAATGGTGGTGGCGGGAACGAAAGGGGTTACAAGTGAGGGAGGGAGGAGAGGTGAGAATTGTGATGATGTGTTTTAGTCCATAAATTGTAAGGGGTTATGTGCACATGACTCAAACTACAAGGGGTTAAAGTGAAAAATCCCTAATTTTAATGAGCACTCTGTTGTAGGTGCATACTTCATCTTTGGTAATAGTGACATGTTTATCTTTTTGTCTTTCCTTTGTTTTGTTTTATTTGGAAATTCTTTTTGTTCTGACCAAACTTCTTTTCAATCTGTTATCCATTCTTTATTGGTTTTTTTGGTTTAGTGAGTCCTAAAATGCGATTTATACTAGAGAATTATTTTTTAATGACCATTCCTCTTTCAAACTTTCGCAAGGTTTCTCGGTAAGTCAGATTCATAAAAACTCAAAATTTTAATAGTTGGGTTTCTTTTTTGAGAAATTTTGGATTCATGATGTCTTGGATGCTTTATGCTATGGCGAATTTTGTTGGACAAGGAATTCTTTCTATAAACAGCTGAGCTGTTCATTCTCTTACTTGAATAGTCTGAATGGATTGCTTTATGTCTTGTATCCTGTGGCATGGCTTGTGGTGATCCATGTAATTATCACAATAAGATGTGTGGGATGTAAATCTGTACTTGAAATTGAGCAAGTGTGGCATATAACTCTACCCCAAGTCAAAATAATTTCAAGTTGACATGCTTTATTATTTGTTATGATAAATGGATATTTAATGTGGGTATAGTATGCCGGACAAAGACATCAGTGATGGATTCTTGCACAAAATCTTCTTGCTGTAGTATATTATGTGCCATTTTTGGATTTCTTTGATTTGCCATTATTGAACCCATAATGCCATTGTTGTTTCCTATGCAATGATATTTTCATGCCCCTAATTGGCATGTGACTCCCACAAGATGATTAGCAATTGATATAACTTGAGTAGAGTTATTACCATGATTCAGAATCTTTGGGTTGGATAAAGTCCAAGGTTTTATTTGTTACTATGCGGGGACAAATTTTATGTACTTTTGTATAGGATTTTATGAAGCTATAAATATTATACGAACAGAACAACCCTAGAAGATGGATAAGGTTTGAAAAAAGATATGTGGAAGTGTTTTAAGCTCTCTCTCTCTCTCTCTCTCTCCTTACATATATATAGGGATGATATGGGGTGGTCCCCTTTCCTGATCATGCCCCACCTAGAGAGATCTGTTCCCAGACTCCAACTTATCATAGGGGATTGCTTTTGCTGATCACAACCTTGCCCTGCCATATCAAATCACAAAGTCGATGTGCCAACCCAGTCCTGAATAGATAAGACTAAAAAGAGGCAACAGTAGAGGTTGTGAAAATCTTCTATGAAGAACAATTTTAGATCTCACACCAAAAGGTAAAAGAAGTTGGGAGGTAAACCTGTATAATATTCACCTTCTTATTTTTCTTGAATGTTGTTTATAGTGACACCACATAAGTTATTCCATTGGTATGCATATGTTTATATCCATATATAATATATCATGATTGGAAAAGTGACACCACATAAGTTATCTTCATGGAAGAAAGGACGTTGTTGAAACTATCAATCGGCAATGGAACAACAAGGCAGCACCAGTTTGGATTTTGGACAATATAGGCAGTGGCCAGTGGCTATATAAAAAGAGAGAATGTTTCTAACTTTTTGGAATACCACAGGCTTTAGTCCTCACTCTCATTGGCCTCCATCAACTACTGAATTTTCTTTACTTTTCTATGTTTATTATTTAAAATGGAATTTTTGTTTTTCAGTTCTACAAGTCGTCATAAAATTTTATACCAGCCAATAGAAAATATCATTATCTTCCAGAAGATTGTATATGCAGCTTTTGCAAATTAAATCATCTATGAAAACAACATATGTAAATTTTTTTGATATTTCTTTCCTGTATGACAAGATGATACATAACTTCCATTTCCTGTACTTTATTGAAATGAGTGGTTCATTTTGGTAATTTCTAAAATATGATCATTTTCAACTGTTGCTGCTTTTTGCTGATGACTGTTTGTGTACTTTTTTTGTGGCGTGCACTCTATTGATTATTCACGTGCAATATATTATGTTTTTTTTGTGTACATATTTGATGCAGTAGAATCATTGTGGGTTAAAACAAGCACTGAACTACATGAGCTGTTATAACTAAGCAATAGTGGGATTACTAGTACCACTATTAGGGAATTTGCACAGTTCAAGTACTTGTAATCGGATAGGTTTAGGGAGGGAGGGCTTGAGTGGCAAGGCTTGAACCCTCTTAGAGGTTGTGACCTGACTTGAGAAGTTCTATCTGCCCCTAGTTTTGTGGGTGGGTTTGAATCAGAAGAATAATTCTCTCCACGAAAAGTTGGGGTAACCTGCCTACCTTCTCTCTCTCCTAGACTCTGTTGTAAGTGGACACCTCTCGTACACTAGCTGCAGTCTTTTTCTTCTTTTTTTTCTTTTTCTTTTTTCTTCTCTCTCTCTCTCTCTCTAATAGAAGGGGGACTGAGGAGCCAGGGAAAAGAAAAAGAAAAAGAAACTAACCATCAGTTTAGGACAAGTATGAAGATGATGTAGCTTCAATAACGGCTTTCATAATTTCTGTTGGATTGGTAATTTTTGTCCTTTGAGAGTGCGTTTGGTTCAATAATTCTCCAAGGAATGATTTGCTTGTGAGCTACTTCAATATCCTTCTTAGTTATATTTCTTACAACAATTTAAGTATCATTATTGATCGACACTTGACAAGATTTGGCATTTTGGAGTCACACACTGAATATTGTAGCAGATAATTGTACAAGCTGTATACTTCATGATATATTGTTTTCCTGGATAATCACATGGTTAAACGTTGTAGCTTCAGGCAAAGGTAACTACAGCAAATGGATCCATGTACATGACACTAAGTAGTTGGGAGTAGTTGGTTGTTTCATAACAATGGCGTTCTTAGGCTACCTTTTTCATCTCTCTTAACAATGACAATCAACCTTAGTTAAACGATGTAGCTTTGGACAAAGGTAACTACAGAAAATGGATCCATGTACATGACACTAAATAGTTGGGAGTAAGGTGGTTGTTTCATATCAATGACGTTCTTAGGCTACTTTTTTTATCCATCTTAACAATGGCAATTAACCTTACAGCCTTTTCTACATCTTCCCTTGTCTGGAGGTTGAATTACTTCTCATTATCTGAGACCTCAGACAAATGTTGAAACTAAGAAAGGAGAGTTATTAGTTGGCTTTTGATATCCTTTTCCAGCACCAATGAGGTTCCAATCTGGAAGGAACTCACTCTGCTTTGTGAAAGTCCTCATGTCACTTAGTGAGCCTCAAACCGATATTCTACTCTTTTTTCCCTAAAAATAAAGCAAGATAATGCATCATACAAATCCAAGTCTAATAAGTCTTGGAAATTTGTAATCTACTCTATTTATCCTGAATATGATTAATGCGTTTCTTGCTATCCTCAACATAATTGTCTTCATTCTGGCAGGTGGCTGAGCGTGCCTTGTTTCTCTGGAACAACGATCACATTGGGAATTTGATCACGCAGAACCGTAAAGTAATACTGCCTATAATTTTCCCAGCCTTGGAGAGAAACACACGAAGTCACTGGAACCAAGCTGTTCAGAGCCTGACACTTAATGTGAGGAAGATATTTTCAGATGCTGACCAAGCACTGTTTGATGAGTGCCTAGTAAGATTCCAAGAAGATGAAATTAAGGAAAAGGAGGCTCAGGAGAAGCGGGAATCAACATGGAAGCGCTTGGAAGATGTGGCAGCCTCCAAGGCTGTTGTAAGTAATGAGGCTGTGCTTGTGAAGTTTGTCTCTTCTGTTGCCATTGCTACCAACACAAATCTGCGAACAACTGTGGGTAGTTGACAGCATCATGCCATGCAAATTGGAGAAATTGCTCTCATCACATATCAAGGAATACAAAGGTGCAGTTTGGGGATCAACGAACCCAAAGGATGAAAAGTTAAGGGATTGGTGAGCCGCTTCCCTAGGGTTTCATAAATGCAGGTTTGCAAGCTGAGATTATGAAATGAAGGTAGAGTTTTGTGCATATTAAGGTGGCTCATTTTACCCATTTTTTTTTCCTTTGAAGGTTTGGATGGCTTATTCCTTCTTTTTTTTTTTCTTGTTGTTAGCCATGGATGGAGGTGTAGTGTGTGTTGTATATCATAAGGAATTTGGTTTATAGATGTAGCATTTCTTTGATTTCCTACCTGATTATAATATTTATTGTGTAATGAAGCAAAGAGACTGCTTCCTTTGTGCCTTAGTGCTGGCGTCTGTTTGCTTTCATTTTTACTTTTTTATAGTTTTTACATGGCAAAAAATTGTATATGATCTGACTCGAGCTTTCTATTTGCAATTTTTTCTTGCCTACAAGTCTACGAAACTTGGTAAACATGTTTCTTTTTTGGTTAAACTCGGTAAACAGATTTTGGTGTGATACTAGGACCACAATGCAAAGAATTCTATGATTTTAGGGCAATAGCGGAGAAGTGGAACAAAAACTAAAGGTGTTTCTGGATATTAGATTTTTGGAGGAATTTATTGAAGAAAAATTTGTGGAGGAATTTATTGAAGAAAAAATTAAAAAGAATAGGAAATTTTTTAAACTTTTGCGGGGTTATTTATTTTTTTCAATTTCTTCCATAAATTTCTGATCCAAACACACCGGCTTAAGATTGAGAATGATTCGGGAAGGAAAAACTCTACTAGTTGCATTACTTATTTCAAGCAACAATTACCCATAATCTTGCACAATCATGGTTCTAAACTTCATGTACCAGCCATATTCTGTACATCAATTCAAATGAATTTGAATGTCATTGATCAATTTAGCTAGTGTCGGAATTTTCCTACTAATCTTTGCGAGTCTTTGTCTGCTTTCACAGAATATGGGCTGCACACACTCTGAAAAACTTGGCAATCTTCTGTTTTAGTATCATGATAAATTGTGAAACAACATTGGGCTGAGCGAGCACTTTCATCTTGTAATGAACCAATTACATATTTTGAGGAAGGAAACTCCATTACTGCAGATACTACAAGGAATTTGAAGCAAGTTTCCCTTCAACATAAGATGTGCATACTTCAGCCCAAGTCATTATTTGTAGCTTATCCCCCCCTCTTTCTCTCTCATATTAAGAAGTGAAGTACTACATTTTTAACTTTTTTTTTTTTAATTATCCAAAAAAAAAAGTACTAAATTTTTAAACAAAAAGAGAACAAAAGGAAGAGACATCAATAACTAGAGCAATCCCCATATCTGAATGTCTAATATAAGTAACTAATCGTCGCCATATGCTCGGAAACTGTAACGTTCTTGGTAGAAACCATTAAAGAAGAGGTCAGCCTCGAACCACTTGGGGTAACGAACAAGGTCACCAGCCATAAACTGCATGAATCGTTCGCTCCCTTCAGGTACAACCCTCACCTCCCCTTCTTCAATGTAAACTAACTGGTCTACGTGCCAGTCCCATGGCAACTTGCACTTGCCTGTCTTCCACATTGACCATTTTGAAACCCCCAGCTCCACTAGTCGTTCTGGTGACACATTCCTTTCCACCCTCACATTGTACAGTTCCTCCAAAGGTTTCTCTACTGTCATTGCCTTTATACAATGACCCTTTCTTGGAGTACTGTGTAACCTTCTACACTCTTTGCTACTTCTGTTGGTAGAGAAATAGCTAAATGTTGGAGCCATGACCACATTTGCCATACCTAGACTGTTTCAGCATCATTACAACACAAAAACATTACTCGCTTTAAAAAAAAAAAAATTAATTATTTGATTCCCTGTGTGTCCCGAAAGAGTAAATAAATCATCAAAAAAACATTTTAGTATGGAAAATTGGCAATCTAGTGCGAGATTACATTTCTAGCAAAGTCGAAACATAGCTCTGGGTTTAATTCAGTGAAAGGAAGAAATAATGGAAAAGATGCATATAACATAACCAACAACAGAAGCTAAAAAACACCAAGAGAGCAAAATGCCAAACAAAGGAAAGAAAAATTAACCAGCTGCAGACTCTAGCAAGTCCTTTGCAAGCTAGGAGAACTTAGAAGCAGACAATCAGAAGAAAGGCTCAAGGAAAATTTGTTTCTCAGAGCCCTTGCAGCCATCTTGTGAGCAGCATTATTTTCTTGCCTAGGGGTGTACCATTATTCCACAGTGGATTAGAAGCAATAACAGCTTCACCCTAAACACAACACTGTTTAAGGCTGGTGGAAACCATCACTATGAAAAGTCCCTAAATTAATACTAAACTGAACAATATGATACGAATCCTTGGGTAGAATTCATCCTTGAAAACCAGCTTGCAAGGGGAGGGTGCTCAAGAGGCTTATATGGCCATGGCCTTTGTTAACTGTTGGGGGATCATAACACAATGCCCTGTGCCAACAACTTGGATCGTTTCTAAGGCTACATTTGATCTTGGATTTATGGAGCAAAAAGAAAAGGGAAGGGAAAAGTGAATGGCGTAGAAGCTATTTATTTATTTGAATTTCACATTTTCCTTTCCTTTTCTTTTCCTTCCACAAATCCAAGCTCAAAACACAGCCTAAATGAATCCCTCTCCTCTTGTCAGCTATACGTAGAACCATATCCTTACCTTAGCTAGAAGATCCTCAAATGAATCAAACAGATTAAAGAATTGTTTCGCCGCTCATTTGATACATTATGTTCCTTCAAACTGCGGTCTTCAATAAATTTTCAACAAATGGATTAGTTTTCCCCTCAGTGCAATGAAAATGACTTGCACGAATAACCATCAGAAAAAAAGACTAGTCTTGCATTCCATTGTGGAAATGCAGACTATGCAGAAAAAAATCCATAATTTCAAACATAATTGAATCAAATTTTCCCAACATGAGGACAACCTCAAAAAGGTTTTGCTGTCATACCAGTAATTAACTTTCACATATTTCTTTTCCCCCATAAGGCTGTGTTTGGATAAGGCTTTGTGGATGGAAAGGAAGAAGTGAAGGAAATATAGGCTAAATTTTTTCTCCATATCCCTCAAATTTTTTTTTTCCTTTCCAAATCTCTACCCAAATCCAGGATCCAAACACAACCTAAATTTCCAATAGATAAGAGGAATTGGCAAAGTTTTTAAGCATTCTCTCAATATTATCACATGCTTTTGCTATAGATAAGAAATTCAATGAATACCCATCACTTTCAGCAACCAGTTCATCTAGTAACACTAATGCACAGATACAAATTTGATGAACAAAAAAAGCTCAGCAATGTTGGGTACAAAAATAATAGAAGAATATTGAAGGAAAACTGTGATACTGAAACTGTATATAACAAAAAAAGAGTAGTTACCCTTTTGGTTTGTTGGCAGGAGGGTTTGATTGCTCTGCTGAGTCGAAACGCTAAAACCCTAAAGAGAGAGGTTTATCATAGATCACTCACTCAATCCAGTGCAATATATAGAGAAAACAGGCTCAGGATAGGGCTGTGCCCATTATTACCTCTGTAAAGATATATCTCTCAGCAAATTTTGATGAAAGACCTCAAGGTTTACTAAAATACCTCAAAGAAGCACTTTTGCACCTCCTAAAAGACAATCATGTTTCACAATGGGCTTTTTTTTTTATAATTAAAATAGTTAATAAAGATAAAATAAATTAAAATAATTAAAAAGATAAAATATTATATTATTATTATTATTATTATTTTACAATTATCAAATCAATTGCAATAAAAAGTTAACTTTCTTTTTAAATATAACTTTTTAATTAAGTTAAAATAATTATGATTATTTTCATGAAAAGTTTTTCATGATACCTACCATTGCTGAATTCTAATATACACCCCCATTGAAATTTTTGGGCAAATTACAAGCACCCTCTTAAGATTTGTTAAAAATACAGATTCTCTCCTGAAGTTTGAAAAATTACAAATTGCCCCCTGAGGATCAAATTTTCATAACAAATTAGAGAAAATTAAGGAGGAATCTGTATGAAAATAAAAATCTCAGGGGGCGATTTGTTATGAAAATATAAACCTCAGGGGCGGGATGTAATTTCTCAAACCTCAGGAAAAAATCTGTAATTTCACCAAACCTCTAGGAGGGTGTATGTAATTTGCCTTAATTTTATTATCTAACCAAATGACCAAAATGGTCAAAATCTTAACCCAACCAACCACACAGCTCTAGCCAATAACCTAACTTCGGTCATTTTATTTTTTTTATATTTTTTACGAGTCCTTTCTAGTAAAACGAAAAAAGAAAAGGATATGAAGAAAAAAAAAATGTAAATTCATAAAAAAAATATCAAATTTAATTATTAATTTTTATAAAATTGGAAAAATTAGTCTAAGGTCCATCTCCTATTTTTAGTAACGGAAGAGGTCTACAATATTATTTTATAATGTCTAAAGTCCCTTAATCCTACGCTCATATATCTCAGAGAAATTTGATTCTTTCAAATCAAATCTCATTTTTCCCTCTCGGTCTTCCCTATTTCGTCTCTCTTTCTCTCTCTCTAAATCCAAACCTCACTTGATCGAATTTCCAAATCTCTCTTCTGAAAACGAATCCAAATCGGAATCCAAACCCAAACCCAAACCCAAATCCAAATCCAAATCCAAATCCAAATTCAGAGTCGAAATCGCATTCGAGTTCATCAACATCGCGTAATTCTCTCCTTGAATTTGAAAATTCATCAACCCGAATTTGGCGACGCAATCTGATTTGTAGTGCCCTAGATTGTTCAACTCCGATTGGTTTTGCCAAAGAAGTAGAAACTTTCTCGGCAAGTAATCGACGAATTTAGCCCCACTACCACCATCACTCTGTTTTTGCTTCGGCTTCGGCCTCTAATTCCTTCTTGTGCGCTTCAACACAACAATGAAGAAACAGTCGATTTCTATGACAACTACCACAAAGTTCATCTTGCCGATGACGAGTATTTTTCGACGAACCTCGATAGATGACTCTAATAATAGCTCCCACAAAGGCTAATCTTGAATTTCCTTTAGCTGTACCATCCAACCAAGTAAGAACTAATCCTAGTGGAATTTTGAAAATTGAAGACTTGTTTTCCATTTAATAGCATCTTCCAAAATTGACTAGGTAGGTATTTGGTTTGTTCAAATTTCTCCGATTGTTTAAATTTTTCTAATAGGTCACTGGTTGTTCAAATTTCTATAGTATTGGATTTTCTCTACATTAACTATTTTTTCAACAAAATCAAAATTTCTCTAGAGAGAAATAAAGAATTTATCTAGGTTTGATTTCTACTTTTCAACTTCAAAATTGATTGTTCTTATTGCATTTATGGTTTTGACTTTAAATTTTCTTTGCATTAGCAATTTTTTCAACAAAATCGAAATTTTTGTGGGTTGCCAGGAATTATCCTCCTTTCTGCCAAGGTGAATTGACCCAATTTTCCATATAAATCTACATCACAATATGCTAAAAGTTTAGTACAAATTGAAGAGTCTGATATAAACTATTAACCCTAGACAGAGCACTATAGATATACAAGCCTCTCAATAGCCCATTCTCAACGAAGAAAGCTCACAGTAGGAATATAACTGTCACGACCCAAACCCGGCCCTATGGGTTTAGCACCGTAACCGGCCAGTAATCCGAGATTACCGAAGGCCTACAGAACAGTAATACAGTAAACAGAGTACAGGGCCTGGCGGAAGCCAATACAGTAAATAAATAGTGTCCATTGAGCTGTGACAGTCTGTATGCCAAAAAGATTTTTCATACATTCATACATTAACGGTACAGAACAGTATTTACAAACATTCAGACTAGGGACTCTCTCCCTAGAAAACAGTACAATAACATTCAGTCTATACAGGATAGTAGGACAGTACAGAAGGGGCAATGTAAAACACCCCTAAGCCTTAACACAATAGGCTCGGAACCTCACGGTGAGGCACAGCAGTTGGCTTGACAAAACAGGAGTAACCCTGACGCTCCTAGCTGCGGTCTGGTGCCTGAACACCTACATATATATATGAGCAGTGAGCTAAAGCCCAGTGAATAACATAAAGCGTAAAGGGGTTTAGAATGAATGTCCTTACAGTAATGAAAACAGTTCATTTCAATCAGTATTTCAGTTGCTCAGTACAGTAAACAGTCATATGTGGTACATCCATTAGCATAACAGTAACAGTAGGTCTTAAAAGACCGAACAGTAATGATGGCCATCAGTCAGTAAACAGTAGTGGCTCCACGAGGGAACCGACAGAGATCTCTGTAACAGTAACAGTAACAGTAAACCGTAGGTACTAAGGATGCCACAGTACAGTTCAGAAATAAAGGACATACATGCATTCAGTAATACCAGTTCAGTAAACAGTTCAGTTTAGTATTCAAAAGATAATCAGTTGAACATATCTTTACACAATTGTTACTCACAGAGTTTGGGCTACAGTATGCTAGAGCGTGTCTCTCCAGTTGCCAACCCTACACAGTTCACAGGTTGAACACACACTAAGCTACACAGTTGGGAAATCTCATAACTTAATCCCTAATTTGCCTTGGCGTGTTCTACAACGATATCCTCATCTAAATGTCTTAAACTAGGCCTAAGAATGCCTAGGATGGGATGAGGATGCAAAAATACACATTTAAAAGCATTTTCAAACTTTGCTGAAAATAAGAGCCTCGCTCGAGCGAGACCTTCTACGCTCGAGCGTAAGTCCAAAATCAAAGGCTTAGCTCGAGCGAGTAATCCTTCGCTCGAGCGGTCTGCAAAACAGTAAAAAGTACTGGATGCTGAAATTTTACGCGCGATGGTCGCTCGAGCGAATTCCTGGACAAAGGTGCTCACTCGAGCGGGGAATCCTTCGCTCGAGCGAGGAAGCCAAAGCTTGGGTCGGTTGTGTGCAAGAAGTGAGCTGATGCAATGTATACGTGTAAGTGCAATGAGGCTCCAAGATGTTATATGTTGAGTGTAGAGGTAGTGGCCCACTCAAGGGCAAAACGGTAGTTATGGCAAACTCTGCAATTAGCTTATTTTAATCTAATTTAATCATACCTAATCAAATTTCAGATAATTATACCATAAAATCACATTAATTCTAAGGTTCATAAAACACTAATCGGTTTCTAATTCGGCCGCCGATAAGGCCTTCAATTAGCAGTTTAAACATATAAACATGAACAGATAATCATACAGTCAAACAGATAGAATGCAATTCACTAACATAAACTCAGTCAATTCGGTTTCCAATTTCAGTCAGTCAGTTCAGCACTTTTAATCAGTTCAATTATCAGTCATAATCAATTCAGTCATCGGTAATCAGTGGTGAGGGTTATTACAATAACATCTTCCATCTCCTTTGACTTTTAGTGCTATGTTGTTATATGCATACAAATCACTGAAGGCATCAAACTGCAGACAACACAAGTAAATTTCTCTGGTTTGGAGGGGGATTTTCTCTGGATTTGAGCGAATTTCTTTAGGGTGGAGAGGGAAATTTATCTGGTTTTGAAGAATTTCTTTGGGTTGAAGTGAATTTCTTTAGAAAGTCCAGAGAAATTCTGGTGAGATTTTCTTTGTGAAGTCGAATTTTCTCTGGATCAATTTGAGGGGCCTTAAACTATTAAAATATTGAATGTTCTTTATGTTATAAAATCTTAATACTAGGAACCCTTAAAAAATCCACTATAAAATACTTATTAATTTATAATTATTTTTCAACACTGATATTTTTTTTTAAAAAAACTGCCTTTGTGGGGATCCGTATCTGTGCCACATTAATCTACTAGGAACTCTTGACCCACATTATAAGTGTGTCATACCTAAAACTCTCCAAGAAGCCCTTTCTAGTGAAGGGAAAACAAAACTGTGCATGCCCCCGTGATACAAAACGGATAATATCTTGGTGCGTGCTACAGCACGCTTAGGGGGCTAATGTAGAGCACTACGACATATGAGAGTTTTAGAGATCAAATGTTTTAGTCTTTAAAAGTAATTTTTTTTTTTTTTTTGTAAAAGACATTTATGGACTAATTTTTATCGTTACAAGTATAATCGTTAAAAGATCGTTTCGCAAAGAAAGTCCAAAAGAATGTTTGAAAATTCAAAAATAAAACTTTTAGCGACAAAAATTTAAAAATGTCATTAATAAATAAACTTTTGGAAACAAAATAATTTAGTCTTAAAATGATCTATTTTTTGAGACAAAAAATTTGATCCCAAAAGGATAATAATTCATTATTAATATCTAATTTTTATTGTTAAAAATATAATGACACTTTTTGCAATAAAAATATTTAGTTCCTAAAAAATAATTTTGTCCTTAAATTTTAGTCTTTAGAACCTTAATTTTTGTAGTATGATCCGAATCCGTCTCACATCGGTGTGTTTTGATGTTCATTATAGTCATTTTACTTAAGAGTATAATTGTCATTAAAAAAATATTTCATTAAGTGGGTACAAAGGTAAGTAAGTGTATGATGGCTCTGTTTGGTAGAACTTTCTAAATTTAATTCCACCATTTGGTTTCACTGTGGTGTTTAGTTAGCGTTTATTTTTGAAAATAAGTCTACTCGGTCATCCTCAAGAACGTCCCCTCAGACATCCGGCCGGTTAACTGAAACAATGTTTTTTTTTTTACACCTGTTATTTTTATATTTTAAATAAAAAATATTTTAAAAATAATTTTATAAGCTTTGAATAGAATTTTAAATTATGTGTTTGGTTATAAGATGTAAATTTTTTAATCAAATATTATATGTCACATTAAAAGTTTTAAACTCAATTCAACATTCTTTTTAAAACTCATAACTAAATAAATTTTTTATATTCAAATCATAATTTTAAAACTGACAAATTTAAAATACAACTCTGACTTGTTTTGGCAAACTATTAAAAAGCTAATTTTTAGATTTTTTAGCCAAAAAAACTAATTTTTTTTACCCAAATCACTATCCAAAAAACTAACTTTTTTGACTAAAAAAATCAAACACCAACTTTTTTCCAACTTCCCAAAACAACGCTCTATTCGCCTATCATAATTCTGAATTTTCTGCGTGTTTCGGGAATAGGGTGATCCGCGCAACCCTTTCTCTATCTTTCTTCGTTCTCCTTTGGGTTGTGGGTATGGAGAAAAAAAGAAAGAAAAGAGGTTTTGTTTGTTTCATGGGGATTGGGTTGGGGTTGCTGAAACTGAACTGTATGTATAAAAACGGAGTACAGCTATGGAAGAAAAAGGGGACATTTTTTTTTCAAAAACTTAAAACGATGTCGTTTTTATATACACGAAAATCAACTGTAGAGGATTCGAACGCAAACGGTGAATCGTTTGGGGTCGTTAACGTGTCCAAAGCTTGTACTCATGTTTCCCTTCTCCAGAATAGTGTATATTTCCACATTTTTATTAAGCTCAGAGAAGCTTCAAGGTCTGCCTTTTGTAGTTACTTTACTACCCACAAACAATCCAATTCCCCCCAAATTTTGCTGAATCATGGTGGTGCTTCGGCTTCAGCTTCATCTCCAACAACACCCACCAATTGGTGGTGGTGTCTCTCATCACTACCCATATGCAATTCCACCACCAATTCATAAACGAAAGAACCAATCCTTCCAAGCTCATGCTCTTCCTTCCAGAACCCAGGTACCCATTTCTTCAAAGACCCTCAATTTTTGCTTTCTGTTTTTTCACATTTCATATGTATATATCTATATGGGTACATGTATAGATGATGTTGGCATACGTTTTGTTTGCATATACATAAAACACACTAGATGTTTTTCCTTAAGTTATTTCATGATGATTTTGATGCCAACTGAGCTAAAGATTCAATCTTGTAGAGGATAATGGAGAGTATTTCAGTGAGTGGGGAAGTTGGTGGGGCTGGTGGGGCTTCCTCATATGATGCTTTGAAGAGATTGGACCAACTATGGTCTGCTATATGCTCTTCTCAAACAGGTACATATCAAATACTTAGAAATATGATATTTTAATATTTTACTTATTTTCATACACTTTTATGTTTTTCAATTTACTTTTTACACATATACCAACATTAATTACTACCCATTAGGTGGTGATTAGCATTTCCCTTTTAACATAGTGTAAAAGCCATAATTGGAATTGTATTTTGCAGCTGTGCAAGAACCCCAGAAAGTAGTTTCAAGTCTTCCCGGTTTGTTTAGCCAATCTGATCTGTCCGGTAAAGCAGTAGAAACATTTGATGTGTTAGTTTGTGGAGGTACTTTGGGTATCTTCATTGCCACAGCATTGAGTTTTAAAGGTCTTCGCGTTGGCCTTGTGGAAAGGAGTATTCTAAAAGGGGTATACTGCAATGTGGAATTTATCCTCTAGATAATTTGTGGAGAATTGTATAATCATTACCTTCACTATAAGATGACATGTTTTAATTATCAATGATCAGAGGGAGCAAGAATGGAACATATCAAGGAAAGAGCTCTCAGAACTTGTAGAATTTGGAATTATGGCGGAAGATGATATTGAACAAGCTACAGCTGCAGTATTTAATCCCGTACGTTTCACTACTTAATTTATGAGAGGTTTCCAGGTTCAGCTTAATTTTATCTTTTGTCACACAGTCTGTAGCATCAACAATATATATATTTTTGAAATCTGCACGGTAGTTGCAATTGTAGCAATGAACTGGCTCAGAAGTGATGATACCCCTAATCAAAGAAGTGCTTCTTGGTGATGCAACACCATCAAAGCCATCATGGAACCCCTATATATGCTATGTGAACTCCATGAGAAAATTTAATTTTTGTGCTCAATCTAGAGTATGTGGATGTGCCATGGACATTAGAAGGTCATGCATGCTAGACAAATGGGGTTTGGCACTAAAAGTTGTTTTGGGAATTGGCTATATTAGTTGGCATTTAAGCTTTTTATGAAAAGACCTGCAGAAAAGTAGAGAGAGTAATTGAATTTTTTTTAGTGCCTTTTTTATTTTTTTGGCTATTTTGGCGTATTGCCAAAACATCCCTAAAAGCCATTTGCAGATGCCTGTCTGAGTACCCATCATTCCTTTTTGCCTTCACAGTATGTTTTGGCTCAAATGTCCTTTTCACATCAATCTCTATTCTTGATTCTTTATGCTCATTTTTTTTTTTAATCTTTTCTTTTGTTTTTTTGACTTTATTTAGAACAGATGTGGATTTGAGGGCAAGGGTGAGATTTGGGTTGAAGACATTCTTAATCTTGGTGTTTCGTGAGTATCCTTTTCTGTTGTTAATTTATATGATGTTATACAACTGTTATTATATTTTTCTTTCTCACAATGTGACTTTCAGTTCAAGGACTATTTCCTTGCCCAAAGAATGAAGTATCTTATAGAAATTAATATTGACTTTTATGAACTCCCAAAGTGTGCCCTCACTATTTATGTATATACGCATAACCTATATTTCTGCACCTGCTGCTTCCCCAGTCGGACTTTAGGCTTTAGTTAAGCACGAATGTGTGATTATATATTTCTTTTAATCAAGTATGTGGGTAACGAAAGAACGGGAAACAAGAAGGGAAAAGACCATTGATCCTTAATATCATGCAAATAGCACATGCACTTTGCTAAACTTCCATGAAGTTGAGTTTTAGTATTTCATGCTTTGTTTTGTTTTATATTATTAATTTTCTTTTATTACTTACTGTGACATGTTATATACTTATATACATTTGATCAAAGAACTAAGCAGTCTTGCAATGTTTTTATGAGAGGAAAATTGGGCCTTGCTTTTGTAACTCAATGCATCATTATGATTTGTTTCTTTCTCTGTTGTTATAGGCCTGCAAAGCTTATAGAGGTCATGAAAAAACGTTTTGATTCCCTTGGTGGAATCATCTTTGAGGGTTGCAGTGTGTCTAGCATATGCATATACAAGGATGCAGCAGTAAGATCTCTAACGCTGAAGAAGTAAAATTATGGCACTTGGTTTTGTTGTTTCACCCAAGAAAAAAAAATCCACAGTGGTTCAGTTTGTATGTCAATTATCATGGTGATTGAGTATAGAAGCACCCACCTAAAAAACGATGTAAGTTGAATCTGGTGCCAACCTCCGATTTAAGAGCCAAGAAAGGAATATGGAACCACCAATTGAGAAGCCAAACAAAGGTGAAGAAGATCATTAACAGTTCTTAGAGGAAGATATGAGTTGGAGAAATTTAAAGCTGTTAAATTGACATGGACATAATCAGTATAAATTTATACCCCCATGCTCTACTTAGAGAATGGGTTCTAATGACTTGAATATCTGAATCCTATTGTCAATCCAAACAGTTATGCTCCATTTGGTTCATAGGAATTAGATGGAATGGAATGGAATAATCATTCCTTAAGTTCAGCTATGGAATGATCATTCCCTTATAATGGTGAATGATGATTCCATTTGTAATGTATTTTTTATTATTTTTTCTGTCAACCAAACATAAGAATAAATATTTTGATAGAATGACCATTCCATTCCACTTCATTCCAATGTACCAAACACTACCTTAGTGCAGGACAGTCTTGGTCAAAATGTACTGAAAACATAGTATCCCAATATTTAACAATGCAGATACTATTATACTATGTTAAATGTTGTTTTACTGAGGCATACTTCTTATCACTTTTTTATTTTTATTTTTTATTTTTGATAGGTCTTGCAACTAGCAGACGGGAAGATTTTATCATCACGTCTCATAATTGATGCAATGGGGAATTTTTCCCCAGTGGTTAAACAGGTCAGGATTGTCCAGTTTGCATAAGTACTCTAAGTATGCTCTTCACTGTTTGCAATCCTCCCGAGGGACATGCTGGCCTAGGTGCAAGATGCATACATGAAAAGTGCTCTTCACTGTTTGCTTCTTGTGCTTCATATTTTGCAATTAACCAATGAACGATTAGTGAAAGACTCAAAATAGTTATCTTCAGAAACAACACTTTACAATTTTTCCAAGTCTAGAACATTGTAAAGGGATGCATGTAACACTACTACATTGTATAACATCTCCATGGAACTCTTGACATATGAATTGACAGCGATGGATTGGTAAAATGGCCATTAAACTACCAAGACCTGATTCTTTTCCAGTTCTTTTGAAAAAAACTTTGTAAACAAATTCTCATATCCAAATCCACAGCCCATTAGATCATATATAATATAGCCATCATCAGTATGCATGCCTGGGGCCTGTGCTTAATGCAATATTAAATCTTAGAATGTCAAGCTTGAGAACTCTGATTTAACTATGACTCACTCTACAAATAATGTCAAATATTACTCTGTAATGGTCATTTTAGGTAATGAATACATCCAATGAAACTGTTTTCATATATTGAATAATTTTTACAGATAAGAGATGGAAGGAAGCCAGATGGCGTTTGCCTTGTTGTTGGTTCTTGTTGTCGTGGGTTCAAGGATAACTCTACGAGTGATGTCATATTTAGTAGTTCGGAAGTGAAGAAAGTTGGAGAATCAGAAGTACAATATTTTTGGGAGGTGATTGATTTTCTATTATGTTTGTGTTTCTTTTGTAGTATTTCTGGTATATGTTTTATCAATTAAAGAATGTTTTAATTTTGGGAATCGAACTTTCTCTGAACATTTCACAGGCATTCCCTGCTGGTTCGGGTCCCATGGATAGAACTACTTATATGTTCACTTATGTTGATCCCCAACCAGGATGCCCAAAATTGGAAGAATTACTAGAAGACTATTGGGATCTAATGCCTAATTATCAGGTTATATTTTGGAAGTGTTGTTTATACTCATAGAATTTGTGATTCTACTTGTTTATTTCTGTATATCTGTGAAGGTTTTTTTTTGGATGGGACTGTTTATCTGTGAAATTGTGTACTATTTCATTCTAAATAACGCTGTTTTCTTCTTTTCTTTCCTTCTTTTTAAACCACAAGCTCTGCTTCTATTGTTTTTCCCTGCCTGTATTAAAATCTCCTGATTCAGTTTTTAAACTTGAAAACATAAAGAACTCTCTCTCTCTCTCTTCTCACAGGGAGTCTCTCTTGATGATTTGGAGATTTTGAGAGTTATATTTGGAATCTTTCCTACATATCGTGACAGGTAAAGATGCAAACGTCACATGAGCTATATTCAAAATTCTCTTTGGTTCTGTTAAACATATTAATTATTTTCTGATAATCAATACGTGAAAAGCTTGATAATGCATTAGGAAACACCTATATTTCCTATATGTGGAACGTGCTAAATAATGCTCTGGGTAATTTGTGTTCCCAATGTGCTCACATATATTCAGTTTGCAAATGTCGTTGGCTTATATTATTATTGATACATGCTGGGGTCTTCTTATACTTATCTTGCTTTGGAATTTTTTTGGGCATATACTCTTGCAATTTGACCCATTTCTCTTCTTAATTGGGAGGATTGATTCGACAGTCCATTGCCAGCAGCTTTTGATCGTGTTTTACAGGTTTTCTTTAAACCCTTTTCCAGCCTCAATCAAATCATGGCCATGTAGTAATGGAATGCATTAGTCTCACATTATTGTCCACTGCAGTTTGGTGATGCTAGTGGCATACAATCACCAGTTTCCTTTGGTGGTTTTGGGAGCTTGACTAGGCACCTTGGGAGATTATCAGCTGGTATGTACTTAATTTCTTACATGAATTTCTCTATAATTTTTCTCATATCACTTTAAACTCCCATTTCTCAAAAAAATTATTCTTTCTATGATTTATAAATTATAATGATTCTATCCTAAAATATGGACATGTATAATCAAATAAAGAAAAAAAATTCTCTATAATTTTTCTCATATCACTTTAAATGCCCATTTCTCAACAAAAAAAAAAAAAATTCTTTCTATGATTTATAAATTATAATGATTCTATCCTAAAAAATGGACATGTATAATCAAATGTGGTGGCCAAACATTCTCTTAGTCATTAACATTTCAAGAATTCGAAATTTGTAAAAATGTTATAAGAAGATATCAGAATGATCATAATTCATACTCCTTTTGAACCAAGGTATATATGAAGCAATTAATGGCGATTTACTGGACTCTCACAACTTGTCTCTTCTGAATCCGTACATGGTTGGTGTTTCCTGTCTCTGTCACTAATTATGCAGCCTCTCCTATTATTGCCTCATCTGAAATATGTTGTGCAGCCCAATTTAAGTGCATCCTGGTTGTTTCAAAGAGCAATGTCGGCAAAGAAACAGTCTAATGTTTCACCAGATTTCATCAATGAGCTTCTTTATGTTAATTTCCAGAGTATGCAGGTATGTTTGCATTGCTTTGGAACAAGTTCCTTCCAGAAATGCAAAATGGGCTTTCTTTTCTGGTCAAATGCTTATGCTTCATTTTTCTTCTCTTTTTGTTTTATTTCAAATTTATGTTTCACTTTGCCAGAGGCTAGGGGATCCAGTACTAAGACCATTTCTTCAGGTTATGTCTTTCATTTAGTTTTGACAGTTTAAAACATATTTTTGCCTTATTAAGTGGTTGATAAGAGAATATGAAACTTTTTTTTTTTTTTTTGAAATCCCTCTTTGTTGATACAGGATGTTATACAGTTTGGGCCTCTTGTGAAGACATTAGGCCTAGTGATGATAACTAAGCCTTTAATTATGCCATCAATATTCAAGCAGGTAAATACATACAAATGTTTTATTTGTTCTTCTCTCTCACTTTTTTTCTTCATTGTGTTGTGACCATCATTATTGCATTTTGTAAAGTAATACACAGTACAAGAGTACAGAACAGACTAAAAAATGCCATACGAGACAGTCCTGACATTCTTTTGTTGCTATAGAGTTTTGCATAGCCATTATTCCATCCTCTCTTTTGTGAACGAGACAACCATACGTTCTTGAAATTCAATAGATATGCTGTCATTTTTTCAAGTAGGGCCTTTGCATAGTTCGCATGACTGATGAATAGGAAACTAATGAAAAGTATTTTCTAGTGATCACTTCAGTTTTTTCAGTATTGCAGTTGAAAATGTTTTTCCAACAATGACTCACAATTGGCAGCACAAAATTAGAAAAATAATCAGATAAGTGAAGGATCAGTGTTTACACAGCCAAATTTTAGAACTAACAGTGATACAATAACTAACTCTTTTTCAAATGAAGATTAAATCTTTATGTTGGTTCTGTTTTTTAGGTTGGTGTTCCGGTGCTCCTCAACTGGTCTGGACACTTTTTCATGTTGGGTTACTATACATTTCTTTCTACCTTTGTTGACCCCGCAATTAGGTAATAATCTTCATAATTATGTTATCTTTCAAGTTTAATCAAAACACTAAGAGATTAAGTTTTCCTGTGTTTAAGTTGAAGAAAATTGTTTGTCAAACTATGCATTACTTATCAAAAACATTTTCTTATATTTGAAAATTTTCATTTTACTACTGCCAAAAAATTCTAACAAATTGATCATTTTGCAAGGCCATTGGTAAATGCTTTTCCACCGAAAATGAAGTACAAATGGAAGCGGCAACTTGAGGCTTGGCAATATGGAGCCGGTTTAGACTACAAAATGAGTCAACCTAACATATCCAAGGTTGGGAGAGGAATGAGCATTGAGCACTAATGGGGACACTTGGGAAGAGAGTAAGAGTCTTTCGTGACCTTGCAAATATTGTTTATTTTCCAGTTTGTGCCTAACTCTTCATAAATTGGATCGAAAGGTGGTTATTTTTAAATTTTGGTACTGTGGGATAAAGCCGATCCCCCATTGGAGGTGAGATCTTCAGGCTACACGATCGCCGCGGACCCCCAAATAGCGGGACATGTCCACTTTAGTTCTTAATTAACATTGAATAAAAACTTTGTGTATTGTAATATGTGAACCTCAAAACACATGGTTACAATTTTTTACATTATACACAGTTACAGATTATTACCTGTTTAACATAATGCAAACTCAATTTCCTAATCACTGCTTTCCTCTTTCAGTTGAGAATTTAGAAGAGAAAGGAAAAGATGATAGAAGCGTGCTTTCGCTTATGTCTTGTTTGGCTTATATAGGTTTCTTTGCCCCTCAAATCTCCCTATTTTTAGATAGATTCAAGAAGTAACCTTTAGACCGAGGGTTTCTTTTCATTTCTTTGTATTTTAAACAAGGAATTAAGGCTACGAGAATCCAAGTTCTTTTCCTTTCATTTCCAAATCACGGAATTCAAACAGACTGTAAGAAGCCCTTAAAAGCAACTTAGTTATACAACAACAAACCTCGAACCACTCAACTCTATTTACATGCATATTATTATCGAAACTAAATCACAAAGAATTAATTGGGTGTCTTGGCACCCATAATCCTGGAAAGCTCCTTTATTAGAGGCTTCTCTTTGATATCTTCCCCTCTTTCCAGATGCCATTTCTTCGACATGTCTCCTGCCTGTAATTACAAACTTGCCCTTAGTTTGAAAGCAAAGCAATCAAGCAGACATACAAGTTTGAAAACAAAGCAATCAAGCAGATATACTAATAGAGAGGGATTTGAGGATGAAAAATAAAAGGAAATAGAAAATAGAAAGAGAAGCAAATATTTTTTTTTCCACCCTCTTTTTTCTTCATAAGTTTATCGACAAATGCAAAATCTATCTCAGAATTTTTGACTTAACATACCCAATTTTTTAAGGGGATCAATTGCTCCTTGAACATCTCTAATTTTGGCTGTACCAGGTCTTTCCCTTTAGCTTTGATGTCATCACTCTGTCAAATATATCATATCATCTTACAACCACAAGGCCATGTTTGCAAGGTAAAAAAACAACAAACATAAATAGACTGCAAGTGATTTTTTTTTTTTTGTGCCTAGAAAGGAATGCAATGTCCGTTACTTTATTAATGGCTTTTTAATGACATGAACCAATTTGTTATGCAAATTTAAAACTTGCGGGAGGTCAGCGTAATATTTTCAAACTAAGGAGGTGGACTGTAATAAATCCATTTTTAGGGGTCTGTATAATTTATCCAAATATAAAACAGTTCTATTGCTAACTAATTTCAGCCATGCACTGTAGGCAGTTGTGTGTTTGGGCATGTGTTTGTGTTCACATACACTTGAGAAAAACTTATCAAGGTTGTTTCTCATTGTCATTTACTAATTTGTGACATTAAAAGTCCAAGATGTGGAGAAAAATTTTTAGAGTCAAAGCATGAAGATGTACACTTACACTGTGCAGCTCTAGTTTGGAGACTGCCAGTCCAACCATCAAGGTGGCACTGCCAAAGACAACAGCAGTAGCAACAGCAAATGCCTTCGCAACTACAGAGAAGAACAGCAAGTGTTGGCATGCTTTAAAAAGATACAATCTAGATACAGGAAACAATTAAACTCGTACATTTTCCTTATCGAATGTCTTGTGTCAATGTCTATCGATCTAGGAAAAAACAAAGAATATGAAGAGTGAAGACACTGACATAGAAAAGAAATGTATGTCCAATCATACATGTACACATGTTTGAGGGTAATGAAAAGACTATCACATTATGTACTAAGATTAAACATAGTAACTTGTTTTTAATTAAATGTTGATTCATAAAAATGAGGTCTCACGGTTCCCCAGAAGGTTTTTGTATGAGACAGACAACCTGTATCATTGTATTGCTTTTCTAAGGGGAGGGGGAAAATGCTAAAAATCACACACACACACACACACACCCCCCAACACACACACACACACACACTCTTTTTCTTTTTTCATGGAGTCTTATGACAGGACAAGAACACAGTTTTATCATTTATACAACAGATAGAAATCAAATAAACAGAAAATACAAAATCAAAGACCAATCATTCAAGTAAAATTCAAAATAGAACCCTCATAATCCCAAGGATAAAGCTAACTACAATCAGATATTCAAGAAGAAAATGAACAGACATTCATATCCACTAAATGAAAAATCATTGTAAACAGGTTCAAACCTACTTTGTGATAGCCCTACAGCTGCAGCCTTCAACTTCTCAGGATTAACAGGAGTGTATTTGTCATGGCGCAATTCATTGGCAGTGGACGCTAAAACAGAGCTATCTGTATTAGGCAACTGCCACCTGCATTTAACAGAGTAGCAATTGATCAATATCTTAGCAACTAAATTAACAACTTTCATACCAAAAGGTGTACTCAATTCACCAGACATGAAAATAATAACTTCCATTTTCCCCAACATTTTCTCAGCAACCAAACAGATTACTCACACTCTACTAACCAAAATCTTGAATCATGCTCAAAACATTAGAACCCACAATCTGAAAACTAAATTGATACTAGAATTAAACCAAACTACTTGAATTAGGAACAAAATCATAGAACCCACAATTAAAAAACTATGAATAAGCAAAGGAAAGAAGAGAAATGACCTTTTGGGGCCAAAAGTGACCTGAGGGAGGGAAACGTAAGCCCGAAGAGGGTTCAAAGCGTCGCGGGAGACAGAAGAGGCATTTTTGAGATCGGGGTGAAGAACCCACTTGGATGCACTGGAGAGAGACGACTCGGAAGGTGGCTGGAAGATCTTGGAAGGGAGAGAGTGCCTGAGAACCTCAGGAAGAACATCGGATTGAGCTTCGATTGCAATTGCGGGAGATTCTGAAGAAGGAGAAGGAAGGTTTGGTTTGATCTTCTGGGCGAGACGACCAACGGCGTGTTTGGATTCTTGTAAAAAATAGGCCCCTTCAACACCCGCCAATCTCCCTGCCAGAAAACTCATTGTCTCTCTCTCTCTCTCTCTCTCTCTCCTAGTTGATTAGTATTATCTCCTATTATAAAAGAAGCTACATTTTTTATTTTTTTAAAATCTGCAGTGACGTAATGGATTTCGTCCGCGCTTCTATATATTGAGTTTTCTTGGGACAAACGAGAGAAATGGACTTGGATTTCGTCCGCGCTTCTATATTGAGTTTTCTTAACAAATTTTTTTGAATCTTTCATGTTATAAATTTTTTAGAGTGTTGTTATTAGTGTTTATCAAAATTCTTTAGAATTTTTATTTTTTTGGATTTTAATCTTAAATTTGAAATTTTAATAATATTTTTTTAGACACTTTACTTATTACCAAATTTACTCATATTCATAATATTTTCACAATGAAATGCATATTCACTTAATTTTTCATTCATCTTCTTCTCTGACTCACTCAATTTTCAGAGTTTGGAGCTTTGGTCCAGTATAGAATTCTTGGACCCCAACCCTCCATCACTCTCATCGCCGTCTCGGTCGTCAATAGAGCATTCCGACGACTCTCAACTTCTCTAAACGCTCTCTGTATCGCCGAATCAGTAACCTCTCTCATCTTCTCATCATCATCTTCTTCGTTGTTTTTTGTATCTTCGTCATCGTTGAGATCGATCGAAGATACTCCAATTTCTACGGGATTTGCATAACCGTTTGCAAGATAAGGAAAAACAGAATCATCGTTTGAATCGCTGTCAGAATTCTGAATGTAGTCCAAAACAATTTGTTCACAACTGTGTTGTCGAAAAAATGTATTTTGTTCAGAACTATTTTGTCGAACAATAATGATCCTGTTAGCACTGTATGTCCGAACAAAATCTGTTCATCACTGTGTAACTTGAATCAATTCTAATTCACAACTTAAAATAACATGAATTAAATCCATTCACAATACATATCGTAAATCCATTTCAATTCACTCTTTTTCATTCTAAGTTAATTCAACAAAGATTACATAATTGACTATCTGTATTAATGTTCAGAACCTATGTATTGAACGAAAGGATTATGTTCAGTACTGTATTACCGAACATAATTCTAACAGTCAGCAAACTAGTACCGAACAGCTCGAATGAAACAAGAACGACCGAAAACGACCGAGAATGTTAATACAAGACAGATAAACTTATCAATGGAACGTCGGTCTCCTCGCTCTCCATTGCTTTACACAGTGAAATAAGTGATGAAGTATAAGTTATACTTGAAGCAAAACTTTCAAGTTCAATAGTGGTACTGTATTACCGAACATAATTCTAACAGTCAGCAAACCAGTACCGAACAGCTCGAATGAAACAAGAACGACCGAAAACGACCGAGAATGCTAATACAAGACAGATAAACTTATCAATGGAACGCCGGTCTCCTCGCTCTCCATTGCTTTACACAGTGAAATAAGTGATGAAGTATAAGTTATACTTGAAGCAAAACTTTCAAGTTCAATAGTGTTGATGATAGTGATGAAGATGACACATTCAGGATTTAAGATGATTATAAAAAATAATAGATTTAGGGTTTATATTAGTTGGTTATGAAAAGTAATAGGTTTAGGGTTTACAAATATGGAATACGTATAGTTGAAGTTGGAGGTGGAGGTGGAGGTTTTTAATGTAATTTTACTTTAGGGTATAATTGTAATAAAAAAAATTTATAAAATGGGGGGTCCAAAGAATTTTGGCAGGTGCTAATAGCAGCACTCATTTTTTATTATTACAATTATATCCTAAAGTAAAATTACATTAAAAGACATTATTAAATGGAACACCCACTTATCAAATAAGAACTAATACTCTATAATATTGGACATCCACCCCCACCCCTACCTCCAACTATATGTATTCCATGTCTGTAAACCCTAAACCTGTTACTTTTCATAACCAACCAACATAAACCCTAAATCTATTATTTTTCATAACCATCTTTAATCCTGAATGTGTTACCTTCATCACCATCATCAACCCTATTGAACTTGAAAGTTTTGCTTCAAGTATAACATATACTTCATCACTTATTTCACTGTGTAGAGCAATGGAGGATGAGGACAACAATTCTAGAGAGACCGGCGTTCCATTGGTAAGTTTATCTGTCTTGTATTAACATTCTCGGTCGTTTTCAGTTGTTTTTGTTTTGTTTGAGCTGTTCGGTACTGGTTTGCCGACTGTTAGGATTATGTTCGGTAATACAGTACTAAACATAATCCTTTCATTCAATACATAGGTTCCGAACATTAATACAGATAGTCAGTACTATTAAACCAAATATCATCTTTATTTTCGGCATTGTTGAACTGAACAAAACCATTAGTTTCGAGACTGTTGAAATGAACATCATTTTTTCAATTTTGAAATTACATTCACACGTGTTTTCAGGGTGATGCTTCGATTAGAGGCAGTAAGGTTGATTCAGAACTTGTAATGGATTATAGTAATGAATTTGTTACTCGTGAGGTGAGTCTTTGATTGTTTTACAAATAATGTACCTTTTTTATGTGCAATAATTGGTTAGTTTAATTTATTTATTTCAGATATTCAAGAGTTAAGATGAGTTAATTCGATGGGCACGTCAAGTTGGAAGAAGAAATGGATTCATTATTGTCGTGCAAAAATCAGATGGGGTGGTATTCGTGGTAGGAAATGGATTCGTTATTGTCGTGCAGAAATCAGATGGGGGTGGTATTCATGGTAGGAAGCCAAGACTTAGCTTAGCTTGTGAGAGGAGTGGATCTTATAGGGACACTTGAAAAAATAGCAGGCCTAAGACAAAAAAAGCAAGACTGACTAGTACAAAAAAATGTGAATGTCCTTTTTTATTGAAGGGTAAAAAATTAGCCACAAATGATGATTGGATCTTGATAGTTGTTTGTGGTATGCATAATCATCCTGCTGCAGAATATCTTGAGGGTCATTCTTACGTTGGAAGGTTGTCACATGAGGAAACCTCTTTGTTGGTAGACATGTCGAAGAGTATGGTACGATCGAGTGAGATATTGGTTACATTGAAACAACATGATGATGCAAATGCTTCCACAATGAAAACAATGTACAATGCACATCATAGGTATAAAGTTGCTGAGAAAGCTAGGAGATCTCAAATGCAACAACTATTAGGTCAGTTAGCGATGAACAAGTACATTGAGTGGCATAGGAGTTGTGCAGATGCTGAGACAGTGACTGATTTGCTCTTTGCACATCCTACTAGTTCGAATTTGTTATGTGCATTTCCAAAAGCATTGTTGATGGATTGTACTTATAAGACCAATCGATATCGGTTGCCCTTTCTGGAGATTGTAGGTGTGACATTGATAGACATGACCTTTTCAGTTGCATTTGCATACCTCTAGTATTAGAAGGAGGACAACTACACATGGGCACTTGGTATTTTGTGTAGTGTCATGGATGAAAATACTTTTCCTTCTATTATTGTCACAGATAGAGAATTCGCTCTTATGAATGCCATATGTACGGTGTTTCCTGCAACTACAAATTTGTTGTGTAGATGGCATATTGGAAAAAAATATGCTTGCTAATTGCAAAAAGATGTTTGAGACAAAGGATAAATGGGAAATGTTTATAATGGGTTGGAATATGTTGGTTATGTCATTGTCTGAAAAAGTATACATGCAACGACTGTCTTTGTTATATAGTGAGTTCAATACTTATCAAGATGCACTTCATTATGTTACCTCATCTTGGTTGGATACATACAAGTCAAAATTTGTGGCAGCTTGGACTGACACATTTATGCACTTTGGAAATTCTACAACAAATAGATAATGAACATTTAAATTTATTAGTTGTTTGGTTTTTTATAACATTATTTTTATAACAGTTTATTTTCATATATAAGGTTGAGAGTTCACATGCAAAACTTAAAAGATATCTTGGATCAAATTAAGAAAATTTTGAGTCGAATTGGACAAGGATAGACAATTTAATTGAGTTTCAACATAGTGAAATAAAATCATCATTTGAGAAAAGTAAGATAGTTGTGCAACATGATTTCAAACCTGCGCAGTTTAAGGAGCTTCGTGGTAATGTCTCAATTACTGTATTAGAGATCATATTGGCAGAGTCTAAATGAACATCTTCTGTTGGTATTGATACTACTACATGTGGATGTGTCATTCGACGTACTCATGGTTTGCCATGTGCACATGAGGTAGCAAATTACATGAGGGAAAATCAGCCAATTGCCCTCACTTTGGTTTATTCATATTGGACTAAGCTTGATATGTTGAGTGCCCCACACACTATAAGTGAAGAGTGGACTTGTACACCTGAGTTAGAATTGTTTGCCAAACGATTCGAGGAGGTGGATCCAGATGTGAAGAGGTTTTGTTACAGAAATTGAGGGACTTAGCCAAACCTGATTGTACATTTTTGATTGAGCTGGAAATGAAGTCTAATCCACGGGGTCGGCCAAAATTGAAGATTGAGACCTCCACTCGTCGTGAGCCATCTGCGTTTGAAATAGTTGCTTCAGCACAAGATAGTTATTCACCCGGAGTCATTGCCAAAGCGAGTGTAACAACAAAAAAGGTGAAAACAAAGAAGACAAACAAGGTACATGGTTTACTAGTGAGGTATATAATTGTGTCATGTTGTCTACTTTATTGTCCAACATTGGCATTGGCCTAGGTCTATGATAAGTTCACCGGTTTCGATCATTAAATCCAAATTGCTTTTTAGAGGCATTCCCTTCTGAATTGAGATGATATATTAAATACATTAAGGATGTTGCAGCACATGAAAATTGTGGGTTCCGAGCTATTGCTGGTTTGATGGGTTTTGGAGAAGAAGGATGGTTACAAGTGAGAAAAGATTTACCTAAAGAGTTGCATGCGCATAGTGACCACTATAGGAAATTATTTGGATCACAAGAGAGAATCGATGACCTTATCAACATCTTGGCATATTTTGAACCAAACCCTGGGTTGGACTAATGGATGACGATGCCTGACATGGGTCATCTTAGGTCAACGTCTTTCTACCAATTCGTTTTGGTCCACTTGTCTATACAACAGTGTTTGACATTCCTCCCTCTTAGGTCAATATCGACGTCCGTTGCTTTTCACAAGGAGATATGTATTGGTTTTGTCAACAACAACCATTTTGTTCAAGTATTGATTTCTAATATTTTTGTACATTCTTGTACATTATAACGACAAATTTCTTAATAATGACAACTATAGACGTCCCCGAACGTCCAGGAAAAAGTCCCGTTTTGTTCATTGGGGCTTACTACAGTTCGGACTCAATGTCACGGTCCTATATCTAATCTCGTAGAGTGTAATGCAAGACCAATGAATCATCAAAGAGTCCAAATCCGGCAAATCATTTTGAAAAACTGATTTTTTAAAAAAAGTGCCAAACATGGACTGCTTTGCCAGATACAGAGTGTAGACACCCCATTTTTGACCGTCCTCAAGACTTGGACGTCACCGTTTGAACACTCGGTGATTATCCACGTTTATGTTCGTCTTGAGTTCCCGGAGGTCTCGGCTACGCGCCTTGCCTTAGGACCTCTCGACTCGATTGCGTTGTGTTTGGTTTTGCACCAAACACTTGTGTTTTTGTTTGGAGGGCAGGGAATGGCTTGTTGGCCATCCCCACTCCTCACCGGCCATGGCTTGAGGCCACCGGTCGTGTCTTCTTGCCACCGGCCATTGGTGATAGCCGGTCGGCACTTTGTGTGGTCGACCGACCATTTAGTTGGCCGATGGCCTCCTTTTCTGGACGATACCACATTGTTGCCTCTTGCAGGCATGGTGCATGCCAGTTGTGCCAGTTGGGATGCACAGACCCTCCCCCCACACGCGTGTGTGGCTGTTTGGCCCCTTTGCCCCTTTTTTAATCCAAACTTCTTCTAGAAGATTGCACCCTTTGCTCAAGCTTCTTGAGGAAGCTTGACCCTTTGTCTTAGCTTCCTTAAGAAACTTGGACCTTTGGGATAGCTTCTCTTAGAAGCTTGGCCCCTTTGACCCTTTCATTTAGCTTCTCTAAGAAGCTTCAAACCTTTGCCTTGTCTATATAAGGAGACCTCTCTTCTCCATTTGAGAGGTTCAGCAAAACCAGACCTTATATGATATATATTTGATATATATCACACACTCTCTCTCTTTATATCTCCCTCTCTCTCTTCATTTGTATGTGTTTGAGGGCCTAAAAGTGTAGTTTGTTCTTAGTTTTGCACTAGAACACCTACTATTACAGCATACTTCGACTTGGGAGGTGTTGAGAGGTTGTTCTTGGAGTTTTGAGCTGGTTTTGATCATAAGGAAGAGGCTGAGGTTGCTGTTCTTCAAGTGTTCTTCAAGGGTACCACTATTTGCTTTATATTCCCCAATCTTGTACTAGTTTTTAACCCACTTTGCATGCTATTTTAGACTTTGTGTATAACTTAAAAAAGTCTTGTATTTGCATGCTTAAGATCTTTCATTAAGGACATTTTGTTGTTTGGGGTCGACCTCCCCCTCTTAGGCCTTGTTTGGCTCTTTTTGTGCTCTCTTTGTTAAGCTTTGTATACTATTGTGTTTTGGCCTTCTCACCATTGAAATCCAGTGGATTTTCAGTGGTGATGAAGAGGGTTTGAGGTCTTGCATAGGGGAGGGACACCCCTCTCCCTTTGTCTTTCTTTTGTTTGCATTTTTGGCTCATAAGGGTAGCATGCATTCTTAGTTGCTTTTGGCTTCATTTCAGAGGTTTTTGGGTGTTATTGGGTCATATTACGTCTCTGTTTTTGGTCGGATTCATGCCCCTTTTCATGCATAATATACTTGCTTTGCATACCTCCTCTTTGCCTAGAAATGCATCTTGCCTTTAAGACCATCATGCATGCATGTTCTTGCCTAACTTTGTGAAGTTCTTGGTCATATTTCATCATGCTTGAGGTCTGTTAGGCACTGATTTGATCATATTTGCCATGTTTGGTATAACCTCTTTGCATTTTGGCTTGTGAGCCTTTAGTGTGTGAGTCATGAGCATGCTTGAGTTGGGTTGTTTTAGTGATTTAGAATCATTTCTCATGCTATTTCAGTCCCTAATCCATGCTTGTATGCTTGCATTCATCATCCCTTTCATGCCTTGAAGTGTTATTCTTTTATGCCTTGAAATTGGTCTTAAATGCATGCCTCTTGGTTTGTGTCCCTTAGCTGCCATATCAGTGGGTTTTGGAGGTCCTTTTTGCATGCTAAAACTTTGCTTTGTATTGAAAAGTTCATGACATGTTTGCTTGGGGTAGGTGTCGAGTAATGCCCTCTTTTGTGCCCTTGAATGCCTTCTATCTTACACCCATCCCCTAGCATGTTTTGGCATCATTCTTCGCATGCTTTTCAGAGTTTAACATGAGTGTTTGATGTTCATGTATATCACCTTTGAGTGTTCTTGAGAGTAGCCTTCCATGCTTGGGTTTTTGGCTCATTGGCGTGCATGTTTGCATGAGCACTTGTCCATCATTTTTGGCACTTTTGACCACTGTCTTGGGGTGTGGCTGAGGCCTCCCATTTCAGTTTAAGACCACCCTTGTATATAGTTGCATACTTAGCATGTTACATGTTGCATTCCATTAGTTGCATGCTTACATTATGTCTTGTTTGCATGTTTGCATATTGTTTAATTAGTTGCACCACATAGTCTTGTTGCATGCTTGATATGTTCATGTTTGGCTTGCATGGATAGGTAGCATGGCATTGCATTAGGTGCATTACTTTGCATGGTATATGGCATACATCGCATTACATTTTGCTTGGTTTGGGGTGTCAAACCAAATATGAGGATTGAGAAGTGTTCGTACTTGAAGTGACGAAACACGTTTCAACCCTCAGTCGCCAATGCCCTTGATCTCAACATGATAGGGCATTGGCACTCATTTGTTTTGTTGCATGCATTTACATTGATTGGTAAACTTGGTGTCTTAGGCCATCATGCATTGGAATGCGTGATTGGTGGCTCGAGTACTAAGGGCTACGCTCCCTTGAATCCATAACATGATTGGAAGAGTGGCCATGCACACATTTGCTTGAAAATTTCGTGCCATACACTGCTTGCCCTCTGCTACTGTCAACTGCAGGATCCTACAGGAATAAATGGCCGACCGGCCATCTCTAGTGCCGACCGGCCAGCCATGTCCAGCCGATGACACCATCTTTGGTCGATAAGCCTGTTCCCATGGCCGGTGACCTTTTGTTCTGGCCGGTGGCACTCCACAGCACTCAAAAGGAAGCTCAAGGCAGTTCTGGGGACTTTCATAATTTTCAGAGGGGTGAGGCAATGTAAATAGAGGCAACAGTGGCATGGTACCGGGTTTTCGGGCAAGACGGATCGAGCATGCATCATTCACGCATCCCGAGGCAGGGCTGCGGCCACCTTCCTTTTGCATTTAATTTGTTAAATAATTAGAAGTTCTGTAATAATTAATTTAGTAGTATTCATTTGGTTGTGTGATATTTATTTGGACCCTCCGAGCGAGGGCAATTGTGTAATAAGTGTGTATGAGTGTGTGTATGTTTTCCAACCCCCACTTTTTTCTTCCCTTTTATTTACTAGCTTTCGATGGTTAGTATTAGGACATATTTAAATTAGCATACCTTATGTTATGCATGCGTGCATTCATACATTTGTCTTGCATGCACCAGGCTCGGCGCATCATGCTAACTGCATTGTATTTCAATTCCAAATTGAATACGTGTTATCTGTTGCATTTCACATGCCATGTTTAGGATAGCCGAGCCTGTCTAGATTGTATCTTTGCATGTGTTGCATTAGCCATTTTAAACATGAACTAGGATCATGCATATGATTACTAACTAGTTTCTGTTTTGGCTT